CGTCCGCCCACGCAGTGCGACGCAGTGGCACGCACGCCGCCAACCCCCGTGGGGCCAACACCGCGACGCGGGGCGGCCAGGAGCCGGCAAGCTTACGGCAAGCGCCCCCAAGGGGTGCCCGCGCCGCGCCCCTCTCAAACGCCAAAGGGCGGCGAGGTGGCAGAGAGAGAGAGAGAGGAGGAAAAGGGGGAGAGGGGGGTCAGTGAGTCAGTCACCCCGTGCTGTCCGCACGGCGAGGCAGCGTCCGGCCAACGGGCGCCGCCGGCACCGCCGTCAGCTATTTCAAGAGCACGACGCCGAGTGCACTGGGTGCGCCCCGCCGCCGCCGCGCCGCCGCAGATGCCTCACCCCCCGACGCGCCCCGACGCGCCGCGACGCGCGCACCCCGGCCGGCGGAGAAGGGGAGAGGGCGGGGACGACGACACCGAAATAAAACCAAAACGAGGCCCGGGCGAGACAAAAGAAAATCTCCATAAGAAGAAGACGAAGAGCCGACTCGATTCACACACCATAAACACCCCCCACCACGGACCGCGGAGCCGCGGATGGAGCCGCGACGTGCCCGCCGGGCTGCCGACCCACCGCGCGCACTGCCGGCGGGGCCCTGGCGGGGCCGCGCACCTTATCAATGAAGCTACACTGATAAAGCGGCAAGTCTCGGAACGCATTATTTGTTTGGAGATGAGTAAACAGTGGTATCGGGGGCCATGAGGAGCAGTGGGAAGTGGGGGCCTCGCCGGGCTACGCCGGGCGCCCCGCTCGGCACTGCTCGGCTTGCTCGGCAACCAGGGCGTTAGCAAGACGGTACAAACATGGCGGCCGTGTGGTGCTCGCGCTGCTCGCGCTGCTCGCTGTACAAGCATGGCAACTTTCACAATCCATCCTCTCTCCGAGCTCCAAGCGCTCCAAGCCAGAGCCGCCCCGGCACCGCCATGCGCCGAGCCAGGCAGAGCCAGGCCGAGCCAAGCGAGGGTCATCGACCACCGCGGGCGTGGCGGGGCGGGGGGGCGGGGCGTGGCCGCGGGACCGCGCGACTCGGCGGCGGCAGCGCGGCAGCAGCACCGCGACCGGGCGTGGCGGCCGCGCCGTCCACACACCACGTGCGCCAGGGCGCCGTCACGCACGCCAAGACTCACCTCAGCCAAGACAACTCCACCGACGGCCTTCCCCGGGAAGGTAGACTCCACCGGCACCGCGTCGTCGGCGACCTCCTCTTCGGCGGCGACCTCCGCCATCACTTGCACCACCACAGTCACCCGCATCTTGACCACACCACTGTCACTGCGCGGGGTCACTTTATCCACTGAGTCGGTGTCAGACAAGTCAGACAGGGCCCCGGTCTGCAGCAAGGCGCGCACCACCACTTCGTCGCACAGCACACCGCCGCCACACGCCACCAGAGCGCCAACGCACTGAGAGGCAGGCGGGCCGCCAGCGCGCCAGCCAGGGGCGGGGCCAACGCCGAGGAGCCCGAGCCGCCCGAGCCCCACGAGGGAGGGACGGATAGACAGACGGCCGGAAGCCGCGAGTGCCGGGCCGTGGCGAGCCGCGCCCCGCGCCGCCAAGAGTACACTCACTCTCCAGCCCCCTCCCCCAGGGCGGGCAGCGCAGCGCGGGAACCGCTCGTGTTTTGTTCTCAGGGCCGGGGTCTGGGGTCTCTAGATATGAAAGAGCGGGGATGGCGTGCGAGAGAGACGGGCAATGGGGCGGCGGGAGCGACAGGGAGGCCGAAGCCCGTCCATGCCCGGCCGGCGCGGCAAAGCCAGAGGCAAAGCCCCTGCAGCGGCGGCAGCGGCGGCAGCAACAGCGCAGCGCGGACGTCTTGCCGCGGCTCGGCACGGCGCGGTGCGCGGCAGCAGGGCGCGGCCAGGCCGCCGCTCGGTGTGCGGCGCGACGCGGTACGGCGTACAACAGCGACGCGGCGCGGCACGGCGCGACGCAGCCCTGGAAAGCAGCAAGCAGGGACCAGCGGCGCACTGCTCCAGCCAGCCGGGCCTAGAGCCGGGCCCTGGCGAGCCCGTCCACGCCGTCTCGGCCGAGGGCTGCTCCTTACCCCACCCTTCCCGCCCCCGGAGAGGCTGAACAGGCCCTCTTCCTCCTCCCGGGCCCGTCCTGCAGCAGCCCTTGGACGGCCGCCCTTTGACGGGGGGCGTCCTGAGGGCTGCCAAAAGGGCGTTCCGTGCCACACAGACACGCCGCCATCGGGCACCATCGGGCACCATCGGGCACCGAGACGGCATCGATCGAGCGGCAGGGAGCATCGTCGGGACGGGAGTCGGGACCCCACCGCATCGCGCCACGCGGGCGACGCGCGTCCTGTCCTGGACTCGGCAAGGCTTCCTTCTCCTTCCCCCACCCCGCGCCGTCCTGCCGCCACTATCCATGCCCAGGCCGTCCTTTCCCTACGAGCCCTGCAGCAAGCCATCCGACGCCGCCACCGCCGCCTCCACAGCGTCATCCTGGACCGGATGTGACGTAAGCCTACACACGTCCATTCATCCGGCCAGCCCGCCACCGAGTGCCCCGCCTCGCCCCGCCCCCGGTGCAACGTTGTCGTAGTACGCCGGGGCGGTGGCGTAGCTGCAGGCCAGAGGTTTCGTCATCGTTCGGGCTCTCTCGGAGTCAAGGGCCGGGCGCACAAATGCCGTGCGGAACGAGTCTGCACCAGGCAAGGGGTCGCGAGGACCACAGGGGACCGCCCCCCGCAGTCAAACGAGACCGAAAAGTAAATTTAAACCCGACCGCTTCACTTCCGCCGCCGTCTTCATCACTTCCTTCCCGCCCCGCCGCGCCAGTGCGAGCGCAGCGAGCGCGCCGCCCGAAAAAATAATCTATTCTCGCGCGAAACCGGAAGTGGCCGCAGGCGCAGGCCGTAGGAGGAATGCCCGGACGCGGGCCGCGTCGGGGCCGCCGCCGCCGCCGCCGAGGTTAGGTTTAGTCTAACGGATCCAAAAATAACCGGGGCCGCGCCGCGACGCGCCAAGTTTGTAAAATGTCGCCAAGAGACCCCCCCGAAGAGGCCCCGGCGCGGCCCGGCCTGGCCCGGCGACACGGAAGAACCCAGGTCGAGCAGCGGGTTCAAACGGCGCCATTCCTCTAGCAGCCGGACGAAGCCGTCAGCGCGGCGCACGTGTTGCGGCGGTTTCCTGCCGGGGCGTCGGCGAGCGGCGAGGGCGCCGCACCGGCCGGCGAGTCGCTGCAGGCTGCAGGGCGTCGCGACACTCCGCCACCGCGAGCTGCGAACGGCGGGGCCACGAAGCCACCAGGCCGCACGAAGAGCCCGAATGTGACGCGGACCCCGTTGTTCGGGCCCGAGGGGCGCTCCTCTCATATCTACGTTGCACTCGCGTCCCAGCGGAACTAGTAAGTCTGCAGGGGTCGCACGCTGTGCGGCGCGATCCTCTCCCCCAAAATAGTCACAGCGACCCGGAGTGGAACACCACCACCGCCACTACGCCACGTGAAGTAGAACCTCCGCGGCCGCCATTTCAAACCGGGGCGCCCGAGCTGGCATCCGAACGCGACGTACGCCGCGCGGGGCGCAGCGGGCCCGGTCCTGGGGCTCCCCTCGGGGTGCTTGATGGAGGGAGCGAGGGAGGGAGAGGCGGACGGCTCACTTGGAGGATCCGTCTTGGAGCGCGCGGGCCGGAAGGACATTGCCCGCTGCGCACACTGTCGGCACCGGCGAGGGGAAGGGGCAGGCGAGGGGGGCCGTCCGCGTGTGCGTGCGTCGCGTGCGTCGCAAGCGTGCCACGGCGTGCCGTGATCCTGCCCGCTCGACGCGGGCGCAGATCGCCTCCTCAGGGTCGGCTGGGCTGCTCGGGCTGCCGCGCTAGCGATACGCACCGCGCGCCGCCGCAAGGTCGTAGAGAGCGACCGCCAGCACAGGGCCTCGACCCCAACCTTGCACCGGGCCGGCGTAGCCCGGCGTTGCCCGGCCGGCAGCCCGCGCGGCCAAATCGCCACGCAGGACCGCGAGCGGCTTTCGGCGTCCCGCGCGTCCCCGCCACCGCCACGTCGGGGAGGTCGGCAAACGCCAAATACACCCCCCTCCCAGTCCGACGGGCGGCAGCTGCCGCCGTGCAGCAACAACAGAGTCCAGGGCCACGACGGCCACGGCCGGCGCACGCCGAGCACCGTAGGACTGCAGCAGGCCTTGCAGGCTTTGCAGGCCCCAGCATGGAGGGGGCCGGCAGGTGGCACGCCAGGTGCGCCCAGGGGCGGGCAGCAGGCCGGCGAGCAGGCCGGCGAGCACGCGTTCGAGCCCACGCGCCCGCCACGCCGCCACGCGTCAAAGAGGGTGGGTCCTCCTCCATCCTCCTGGTTCGTTCTGCCCGGTCGACCGAGAAAGCCAGACACCGGCAGATGCACCTCGCGCCCGCCATGCCGGTGGACGTGCCCACTGGCTCTCTCGCACTCATGCGGCTCTCCGTCAGGGTGCGAGACAGACAGAGCGCTCGGCAGGCCGCGGCCGGCCAAAAAACGACAACCACACGCCGACATCGCCGTAAAAGTGAAGAGGCGAGAGGATCACGCCGACGGGGACAGGCCCGACAGGCCAGGGGCAAGGTCAGTGCTCAACGCGCCGAGGGCAGCGCCTGGCAGCGCCGCACCACGCGCAGCGCCACGCAGCGCGCCCAGCCGGCCAGATAGCGACGCAGCACAACAAAAGATAGCGTTCGTGCCCTCCCCCGCGCATCGCACTCACACACACGCGCGCGTATCGCACACGCGAAACCTCCCCCACCTACAGGGGCGACAACGGCGACGAGAACGCGGCGCTGGTGGCCGGCCAGCCTCGCCAGCCCACCCTCCCGGACAAGAGCCTCATCCCCGCGAGGCGCGCCGCGCCACACCACGTAGTTTCATCCCAAACAGTCGCTTTGGAAACCCGGCGTTTTCGAGGCGTGCGAGAGAGACAGAGCGACTGCAGCACACTGCTAATCCCGCCACTGGAGGCCAGGTCGTCACCCACGGCGCCAGTGTCGCGCCACACTCACCGGTCCCTGGAATCAGACAAAAGCACAGGCGTTAGACAAGAATAAGCTACATTCCAAGCGCTAACCTACGTACATCCAAGCTCAAGACCGCGCGGCGCGGCCAAAGCGGCCAGAGCGCCTGGAGCGTAGGCAGCCGCAGCGCTCCGGCGTCGTCGGCGCGCGGAGTCTGCCTACCTCCCAGGGGCGGAGGGCGCGGCGTTGCCACATCACGTTTCAAGCCTCATCGACGGAAAGCCGGGCGCTGAAGCAAAGCGCGGCGCAATGTCAAACACACATGGGGCTGCGTCGAGGTGCATCGGGGGCTTCTCGCCGCGCGCGCGTGCCGCGCCAGCCACGCCGTGGGGCAGGAAGTCATTGCCGGTTGGGGAGGGGCGAGGAGGGGGGCTTCCGCAGTGGCACCAACAGCCCCAACGGACTGAGGCGCTTCTGGTGGGGCGTGAGAGGAGAAAATCGAGAAATGCAACAAGGAAAAGCATCACGAGCGTGGCACCGAGCGGCCACCCCGGACACGCAGGGGCAGCATCCCCCAGGCAAGCCAGCCCCGTGAGCCGCGCGCTACGCCACCGGGACCGGCCAGACTCAGGGGGGCCCAGGAGGGGAGCCTCACGTGAGCCGCAGGGGGGCTGCCTGCCTGCACTTCCCTGCACCCTCCTCTCCTTCCTCGGCCAGACGCGCACGCACCCAAAATAAGCAGCACGCCGCTCTAAACTTGGAAGGTTTGTCTGCGCGGCGCGCGGCCCCCAGCAGAGCAAGCAGCGGCGCAGCGCCACTCTTACATTAGGCAGCAGTGCTCTGCACGTGGCCCCGGCCGCCCCGGCCGCCTCGGCCGCCTCGGCGCGCACCTTGGGCCTTGGGTACTTCCCCCGCCTGAATAAAAAGGACAACACCGGCGTGGCGCGCGCGGTGCCCGCACTGCGACAACCCATAGACACGCGGCCGGTCGGCCGGTCGGGCGCGTCACGCGGCCGATGCCGTCACGGCGCCGACGTCACGCCGCGTCACGCACACGTCACGCCAATCCGGCGAACCGGGCGCCGCGTCACGCCGCCGTCACACGCCACCTCGTCCAGCAGGCCGCTGTCTGTCTCTCTCTCTCTCTCGCTGCCCTGCGGACTGCGGGACCAATAGAGGGACAGAGACAGCAAAAGCCCCGTGACCCCGGCGCCACCACACGCGCCTGGCCGGAGTCATGCACTCGCTTAACGGGCTTTACGATCCGCCGCTTGACAATGGCCGCGCCTCCACTGCAAGCACTGCAAGCACGCCCATCAAAGGCCCGCCCGCGGTGGCAGGAGAAGGAGAAGAAGGGCGCGAGGCTGCACCTCACGGCGGTGACACACGGGTTCGCTCTTACCACCGTTCGCAGAAGCGCCATCAGCGGGCCGAGGGGCGCCCCCACCCCTCCCCGCCGTGACGCACGCCGCCGCGGATATCGACGGAACGCGCTTCGCGGCAGACCGCCTCGCCTCGCCCATTCCCGCCGTCCCCCCCCCAAAAAAGAAAGAAATGCTAACAAGCTCCATTTCACGGCGTTGGCGGCGGAGGCGCGAGCAAAGTCCCGCCGAAATCCCTCTCACTCAGCAGCAGCCCTCCCCGCCGCAAAGCAAATACCGTTAGGAGCGGGTCCTCTCCACTCCTCGGCGGGGAGCGCGGCGCGACGCGGTGCGCTACTCCTGGCCGAAATTGCCGCTTCAAACCCCAGAGCGCGGAGGGGCGGGGGGCCGCGGGCGGAGATGAGAGCAGAGGCAAGCGCGCCGCCAAATCGAGTCAATTCTCGAAAAAGGCCACGAGGCGGAGGAACGACGAATCGAGCTCCTCCAGAAAACGAAACGCCGCATGAGGCGGCGCGGCCAAGCGCGCCGACCTTTTACCATTCGCACACCGCCAGTCGTCCGTCCGTCCGTCCGTCCAAGCGGCGGCTAGACCAGCCCGCCGAGAGACCCGGAACCCTTGCCGGGTCACGTTGTCCGCGTCGTCCCGTTGGCGTCGTCGTCGTCGGGGTGAACGGGGCGGGGGGTGACCCTCGGGTGCAGTCGCGATCAGACCCACAAACCGAGCAGCCGCGCCGTCGGGAAGAGAGAGACAGAGGATGTTGGAACCAGGACCCGTCGAACCTCGCGCACAATGCGCCGCTAATCCGGGCCGCATTTGTAATTGGGGAATCGGGGCGACGAGGCCGGTGCAGCGCGTGCAGCGCGGATCGGCGAAGAGGACGACAATGCCGTCGTTACCATACCGGGCCATTTGGACCATTCGGCGCAGTCGGCGGGGACTCAACGCGGAGCACCACGCACCCTCCCTCCAGGAGACGACCCTCCTTCGAGGAGCGCGGGGCTGGGCGGGGCTGCGCGGGGCGCAGACGGCGCGCCCAGACGGCCCATCCACAGCGACCGACCCGCTGCCGCGTAGCCGCGGAGAAAAGCGGGAGCCGACAAAAAGCGCAGAGGGTACGCGAGGAAGGGGGAGGGGGCCGGAGGGGGTTTCAGTGCAGGGGCACGAGTCACCACCTGGCGTCTGCCGCGCCCTGCCGGGCGACTCCGAAGGGTCGCTTGGTCGCTCTGCCTCCCTCGCACCCTTATACGGCACGCCGCGCGAGTGCGACAGAGACAGAGCGACGACACGCCGCGCCGCCCGTTCGGCACCAGACTGACGGGGCCTGCAAGGCGACAGGCCGTGGGCACACTGTGTGCACCGACGCGTACTACAACTCACCTCTTGTAGAGCAGCGTCAGGGCGTACTTCTCCAGGCGCTGGAGCGGCGGCAGAAAGTCGTACGAGTCGTAGCCCTGCGCCGTCGTCGCGTCCGTGTCGCCCGCCCCATCGTCCGACACTGCAAAAACAACAACAAAGCCGTCAGGAAGTGCAGGGCGACGAAGCGAACCGGTTGGAAAAACACGCGGGGGCGCGTCGAGGGCGCGCACGTGGCACGGCGGCGCACGGCGGGGCCGCGACACGCGTGTCAACACGCTCACCACGTGGCCGGGAAAAAAGGCGGCGGCGGGTGGAGTCGAACCCGCGCCCCGCACCAGTCATGGGGATCACACGCGCCACCTCAGAACCTCCGTGCGTCGTGGCGGCAGACGCGAAGAAATCCCCTCGCCGACGCGGGGACCTTTGCCCCCAGCTGCCCCCTGCTACCCCTAGCCCTGTAGGCCCTGCAGGGGTAGCGGCACGCGCGCCCCCATCTCCAGCTCCCCCACCCGCAACCCCGGGGCCAAAAGTGAAAGTCAGGGGAAGGTGGGGCCATCCCAGCGGAGCCCCGCCGGGAGGGGAGGGCAGAGAGGGGGAGGCGTCCACCCCGACGGAGCCCGAAGCCACCCCTTCCACTGCAGCGTGCACCCGGCCAGGCCCGGCCAGGCCCGGCCAGGGCGAATACCCTTATGACTATCGACCGCCCCGCTCCAAAACCCCTGCAGTACCCCGTGCGCCTTAGAACGCTCGCTGGCCCCGCCCTTCACCCTTGTCGCCGAGGACGCGGCCGGGCGCAGCGTCAACCAGACGCCGAAAACGCCTCCAAAAGTCGCTCAGGTCGGGCTGTGGCGCTGAGGGCGGCAACCTTCCGGCAACTCGATTGGCCGTCGACACACCTTGGAGGAGCGCACCGCGACGCACGCTGCTGGCTTCGCCTAGGCATCCATGAAATCGCGTCAGGAGACGACTGCAGATGAGATTCGAACAAAACTCGCACCCCTTCGGAACGCCCCACGAGTTCGAGAGAGGCAGAGCGACGAAAGCACCGCCACAGCGTTCCTGTTGCTCGCTCGTCGCGAGGACGGCGGCAACGGAGGACGTCGGGCTGCTCCAGCATCTGGCCTTCGCACCCGCCTTCCAGCCCGGCTCCAGCCGGCACACGGGCCCCACGGCCCATTTCCAAAAACGGCGCGTTTTTAGGGACGGGCCCCATGCAGCTGCATTGCATTCGTGTTGAGGCAGAGGGCAACACACCCGGAGGCCGGACGGGACGGGCCGGACGACAGACGGGCCGAGTCCGCCCGGCGAACGCGGCGAGCGCGGCGAACCGACGGAGGGAGGAAAGGACGAGGGTGCGAGCGAGACAGGCAAGCCTGGCAAGGCCTGGCGAGGCGCGCCGGCCGGCCGAGCGAGAGAGAGAGAGGAGAGAGGGTGGGGGCAGGCAGGGCAACGAACCACTCGCTTGTCTGGCTGCTGTACTGGCGGGCGCGGCGCGGCACGGCACGGCAGAGCGGAGCATGAGTAGAGTTGCTGCAGCGGCAGGGACGCGTCTGGCCGCGTCGCAAAGTCGGAAACCAGCGGAAGACAATTTGGAGCAAAGTTAATCGGCCCGACAAGGACCGTCCAGAACCGCGCCTCCCCTGCACCGAGTTCCAGCGAAAGGGAAATGGCGTTCCAGGACAGCGACCGCTCTCGACCCTAGGCCTTCGCCCCGCCCTTGCCTTCCAGGACGCGCTTCCAGGCCGCCGGCTGGAGCGGCTGGAAACGGAGGACGCCGCGACCATTGGCCGCCGGCCGGGCGTTATCGAGGTCCTCCACGAGTCCAGGGACGTGTCCAGGGGGCAAGCCGGTCATCTGAAGCACCGCCTGGGGCTGGCCAGGGCCACGCCAGGGCCACGCCAGGGCCACGCCATGCAGGCCCAGGAGAAGAGAGGCCGACGGACGCGACGCCGCCGCCTCTCCAAGCTTCGAGCGCGCCGCCGTACGCGCCCCGCCGCCACGCCCAAAGCTCCCCCCTCCCTTCCCCGCGCCTCGCCGCGGCAGCGCAGCTTGGGATGGCCGCCGCCAGGGGGCAGCATCGCCTGGGTTGCCGCCGCCCAGCCTCCTGCCGTGGCTGCCGAGGCTGGATTCTAGATCGATAGGCCCAACGGCCCCGCCGCACCGCGTAGTACGCCCCGCCCCGCCTCACCCCCGGTCCAACCATTTGGCCAGGTCCAACAGGTCGCCGAGAAGACGAGTCGCACCAGCGGCACGGCACTGGCCCTGGCCATTTTCCAGGCCTGTTGGTGGAATATTCCTCCAAATTCGGCCAGCGCGTGCTAGCGCGTGCCGCCACGCCGCTGCGGCATCCGTCCAGGAGCAGCGCAAGCGCGCCGCGAGCCAGCACCGCCAGCACGCCGACCGGCGGGGCGCGGCGGCGCGGCGGGGCCACAGCTACTTCCGGAATGCGGCCACGCCAAGCCTGGCCAGCCTGGCCAAGCCACGTGCACCACGCCACGGGGACGAGCCGAGCCCCGAGCAAGTGCGCGCCAAGAGCCGAGCCAGTCTACGCTAGCTGCAGTGTAGCTGCAGCACCGCCAACCCAGGCGCAGTGAGCCCGAGAGCGACTGCTATCGCAAACTGCAACGCCATACTGCGGGTTCGCAGATCACGGATGGGTCACACACGGCGACAGCGAGCACGGGCCGTTCCCACGTCCGCGTGCTGCGCGTGTGTGCGTGCACACACAGACACATGCGCACGCACAAAGCGCTGTCAACCAACCAGGAAGGCGGCATTCCATCTCGCGAGTGCGTACCGCCGTACCGCCGTCGTACCAACTGCCGCCACACACACGTGCTAAATGGAGCACGGGCTGCACGCCGGCCCCCGAGATTCGGTGTGTGAAGGCGGCGGCGGTGGCGGCGGTTAGAGGGGACCAGGTTCATAGACCGCGTTCACCCACTGACGTCAGACAGGGAGCGCCGCAGCGCCGCCGTAGTACAGTGTGCCAGCCGCCACTTCCAGCAGCACTGCGCAGTAGCAGAAGATAAGCAAGGCCAGAACGGAACTGGGGCCGTTTTCATTATGTTTCTGTGCAGCCAACCACACACCCAAAACAAGGGGCCCTGCAAAAATAAAAATTTTAAAAAAACTTCGGGTGCGCCTCTTTGCTTGCGCCCCAAGCCGCGCGGCGCCGTCAGCTCAAAGGCAGCCGACTCAGTCAAAGTCAGTCGGTCAGCGAAACTAGGGCGGCCGCGGCCATCTTCGACGCGCCAGCCGCGCCGCGCGCCGCCAAATAAAAAAGAATCGCTTTTTCACGCGTCCGACCGGCGGGATTAATTAAACAAAAATTAGAAAGGTGAACGGGGTCGAGTGCGGGCCACATGGCGGGTGGGCGCGAGAGAGACAGAGCGATGCAGAATGGCCACATGCTCGAGGCAGCCCAAGGGCAGGGGAGATAACTTTGCATGAACATGAACAGCACTAGAGAAAGTGCGGCAATTAGCCAAGTCGTGACCCACTGCGGCCATTCAAAGACACTGCCGGCGCCACAAAGCCGCACCGCTGCAAGGCGCTGCAGGAGAGAGAAATTGAGAGAGCAAAGGACACTGCAGGTTGGAGCACCGTGCCACGCCGTGCCACGGGCGGGACACGCGAGAAACGGCAACGCACGGCCGGAAACCGTCACACCGCCCCGCCGCATGGGCCGCGTAGAGAGCGGGGCGAGTACCGGGGAGTACCCCTTTGGCTTGCCCGCCTGCCGGCCTGCCCCTCGGATGCCGCAGGGCCCCGCGGGGCCCCGCAGCCATCCTTGCCCGACCCAGGCTAACGGAGTAGTACCCGTACTGCATTGCTCGGCCAGACCGGGCCGCCGGGCCGTGGCGAGCCGCGCCAAAGCGTCACTCGCTTGTTTTCTGCGCAGTTTCGTGAGGAAGGCCGGCGGGGCCAACGGACGCCATGAGGCGCGCCACGCCACGCCGTGCCATGAGGCGTGCCATGAGGCCTCATCGTGTGTCTCGGTGCGTCTCGGACTGGATACCCCGCCTCCCCCTCCGGCCCGCCGCTACCAAATTCAAACCGCCGCCAAAACATGCAGCGCGCGACGCCCTACCCGCAGAACGCGGTACAACGCCGTGGCCGCGTATTTTTCTGCAGGCTTCATTTTCATACACGGCGCCAGTGGACATAAAAATTCAAATCCCGACACGCTCCCCGTCCAGGGCCGGCAAGGGCGGGGCGAGGCGGGCGCGACATCCTTGGAAAAACGAGAGGCGCAACAAACGGCGTTCCTCGAACGGCGGCCCACTCCGCCCCGCCCCGCCCCGCCCACGCGCACCGAACGCTAATTCACGCCACCCGTTTTAATTGCGCGCCAGTGTAATTGTCTCCAATCTCCATGCATCACGTTGCAGCGTAGCAGCGTCGCGGCACTCGAGGCTCACAGGCTGCAGGGTAGGCAGCCCGCCCCACACGACGGCAGCGCGGCGGCAGCGACGCGAAGACAGGACGCGATGACGGTCGGAAGAGGGAAGCGAAGGGCTTTGGACGCGCCGTCCCTCTCGCACTCGCGGGGCGTCCCGCAGCGAGGGCAAACGCAACGCAGTTCGGCCTGCTGCACGGCCCAACTGCGCATCGATCTTCATCCATCGGGGCCGCCGACACCGCGTGGACACAGTACAGCCCGGCCCGCGGGTTCGATACTCGCCAACAGGGGCGTCTTGTCCTTGGCGGGTGTAACAGTGTAACCTGGCCGAAGCGTCGGCCGTGGCAGTGCCGTGGCGGGCGGGCTGCGACCACGACGAGCACGGCGACCACGACACGGCGGACGAGGCTGGAGAACACGGACCGCCCGCTCCTCCCCCGCCGCCGCGCCGCCGCCGCGCACAAACAACACGTCCTTGCCAAAAGCAGCCAGCCCGCCGCACTTCTCTCTCATTCCGCACGAAATGTCTTTTTATCCCCGGCGGTGGCCGAGGAGGCCGTGGAGGCCGAGGGGGTCAAGCCAGAGCGCCGCGGCCCAGGACGGCCCAGGACGGCCCAGGACGGCGGCCCGGACCGGCCCCAACCACCTGAGGGGACGGGCCGAGGAGGCCGAGGAGGCCAGACGGGCCGAGGGGGGCTGGAGTCCCCACCATCATGACCAGACGGATCAAAACAAACCGCCGCGCCGCGCCACGCCACGCCGCCCTTGCGGCTTGCTTTGCGTTGCTTTGCGTCGTCGACCCTGCAGCCTGATTCCAAGAGTCGCTTTCGTCGCTCTGTCCCTCTCGCATCCATACGGGACGCCCCATGACTGCGAGAGAGACAGCGACGAAAACGACTCTCGGAATCAGTCTGCAGTGTGCCGCCCGCCCGGGGGGCTCTGCGGTGAAGCATGCATTCAGAGGGGCACATGAAGAGGGGGGGGGGGGGCAGCCGGGGGCAGCAGCGAAACTACAGAGAGTACACCAGGCTGCATGATGATTCCGAACAGTACCTTCGTCGCTCGGTCTCTCTCGCACCTCCACGGGGCGACGCCACTGCATGGCACTAGCCTGCTGACGTCACACACTGCGGCGGACCAGGCTCCAAACCTGGCCGGCAAAAAGAGCCCCAGCCAAGCATCCCCCCTCCTTTTTCCAACGGGACTGACTCTCCCATTTCAAACTTATCTCGGCGGCGTTTAGTCGCCGCCCTGCTTGGCCCCGCCGCACGGTGCTAAAGATAATATTTTGCAAACAAGCGTCACGAGCTCCACGACACCGGCTTTCCGTTACGGCGCCGCCAATCGGGGCCCGGCAGCCCCGGCGTTCTCGGGAGCCCCATTCCGAAAGCCCAATCGGCGACATTCATTCCATTGACAAGACAACTCCCGCGTGAAAACAAAGACCCAGCCCCGAGGTAGGCAACACGCGCGGCGTCGCGGCGGCCAAACGGGGCCCGGTCGCACACTTGACTTGACTTGGAAGGCTAGACCACGTACATACACGGGACCTGCCGGCCTGCCCCGGACCGGACAAACGCCACGGGTCAACGAACGGGCCCATAACTTGCATCAAGTTTCATCAAGTTCCTAAAGAGGTGCGGAGGTCAAGGAGCAGGACAGGGCGTACTAGCGCCACGCCGGGCACGCTTAGACGCACGCCAGGGTACGCCACGGCGGCGCGGCCTTGCCGGGGAGGGCTTCCACCCCTGGGACGGCCCCCCCCCCCTTTTCCCTCACCAATTGAGGACTTCCGGTTCCGGGCAGCGGTCTCAACAACAGTCCGAACGCCATAAGCCCGAACCGGCGGGTCGAGCGTTGACCCCGCGTGGACACGGATACGCTGCTCGAGCAGCTCAGGGTGTGTGAGTTTTGTATCAACGTCGTGTGGTGGTGGCGGCCGACATGTGGCGGGCCAGGCGAGCCAACCAGTAAGCAGTGGGTCGGATGCTCAGAAGTGCCCCGCCCTTGACGCTTCCGGTGGCAGGCTGGCAGGCAGGCAGGCAGGCACCCAGCCATGTGCCGCATCGCGTCGTCTGGCTGCTGGGACCCCGGGTTCGTCGATCCGTCCCTCTCACACCCCCAGGAAACCCCCTATGAGTGCGAGAGACACAGATCACACTGCTCGGAATCCGTCTGCAGGGCGGGGAATTTCAAAGATGCAACGGGCCGACGACCGCTCCGCTGAGCCGGCAAGAAATCCAGCGCCTAGTTTAGTTAATAAGCTGTTAAACTCGACGCGGTGGGGTGGCGCCGTCCACCGGACCAATGGGCGCGCAAGACTAAATTTCGGCCCGCATCAACAAGAACCACGTCATGCAGCCGAGTGGCACGCTCCAGAGTGGGTACTCAACCCCCTCCCCTTGCCCCTCCCGCTCCCCCCTCTCCTCATCCTGTCTTTCATCCCATACTTTAAAGCAACCTTCATTTTCGCTTCTTTATGGAAACCTTGATAGATTCTAAAAAAAATACGTACTTTGTCTAAGATATCAAACTAATGTGCATGCGTCAACATTTCACTCTTTGCGAGTCAACTTACTTGCTCCGACAGCCACATCGCCTAAGGGACCTGAAGAACTCTCCTGAAGGGCCCACGCGTCCTCATCTTCATCCAATTCGTCCTCATTCTCCAGCTCTGCAGTGTGGGAGGTTTCCCCTCTGTCCACTGAAAGATGGGAAAAATAATAAGTGTTAAACATTTACATGTACTATAATTCAAAACAACACCCTAAACAATACATGAAAATCTCCAAAATTCATAAGCAGTGGGCCACATTTTGGAGAAGGACATTGCACAACGATACTTCTGACAATAGATAATAGAACTGTTGCCCACAAAACTTGGGTCAGCACCAGTTCAAATTCTCATTTGAGTAATCAAACTTTGACTATGTTGCTCCTCAACTAACAAACAGGGCGCTCTCAGCAAAAAGACTAAAAAAACTGATTCTCCCAAACTTAGATCCACGAACGGGACAACGAATTCATGCATTATCAAACTCCTCAAAGCCTACAGGAGCACAAAGAAAACAATGGGGATGACAGGTTTGACATTGTGTGTTTCATGCAAAACCTGCCGTTAATTACACTCAGACGGAGCTTGAGGACACGATAACAAAATCGACAAAGTTGCAACACGACGGGGAAGCAAAGCACAGCTCAAAAATTGTAAGATGGAGAAACACAGCTTGGAACGATGGTGCAGCACCATCGTCATACAAAGAGGTTATGGTTGACTCATGTGACTTGAAAGAGAGCAAATTCGTCGAAAATAACTCCGAGGCACTTAAAAAATGAAGACAATAACGCTAAACATAATGCGAAAAGGACTGAACGTAGCAATAAGAACAAAGTAGATTGCATTCATGAATGCTTTTGGGCACTGGCAAATTTAAAGAATGTGATACATAGGGCAATAATTCAACAGATGGTGCGCTACGTCTGAAGCGGTTACTCACCTCCATCAGAGTCTTCGCCTACGTCCCGATTCACCATTTCTGCAATATAAAAATCTTGCTTGCACACATCCGGGTCGAATTTTATCTGGCCCACTAACAACAGACTTGCTACTTACCCGCCATGATGGAAGTGAAACAAAATCAGAGTCCGAGTTGCCAGGTAAATACCGGCCGGATTCCCTCAGCGCATGGTCGTTCTAGCTAGTTGGGGCGGACATTTTCCCTAAACCAATGTAATGCTTAAAAATTACAATGCGAACGTGACGTAGGACCAATTTAAGTTGATGCAAATGTTCCAGTGAAATCGGACGAACGGAGCCTGCCGTTTCACTTGGCGAATGATGAGTTTCGAGCGCGAAATTTCCCGTATGCTGTACACCAACCACAACACAAGCGATTTGTTTTTGCAGAAAAATTTCGGCAGCTTGGACTGCTGATTAGGTTGCTTAGAATTTCAGGGACTGAACGGGAAAATTTGTTGCAGGATGCGTTTAGTCTGGGGATAGTTTGGTGCGAAACAAAACAACCATTCTTATGTTGGTAAAACACAACCCACCCCCTCCGCCCCCCTCCACTGCTTCCCTCCTTCCCTGCTCTGCTCACATAAGCACACCGTTTAGTTTGCTAAGGTTATTTGCATCTCTGCAAATCGTGAAATATGTACTAAGTTGTTAATGTTTTCAGTTGTACTTCTCTTACTTCACAGCTTCGTTTGATGTTATGGCTCAGCTGTACGAGAGATTCCTGAAAGTCCTTCAAAAGTGGCCACTCAATGCTGATTATCCTCCCCCTCTGAGGTAAATAATACTGCTCCTGAACAAATTTTTGTCTCAACTTCAGTGACAGAGCGTCAAACAAAAATATTTTACCATGTTTTTTTTTACTGCGTGCCACCTGCCCTGTCCTTCTCTCAACAGATATTTTTTTACATTACAGGAGCCTTCCTGCGCACTTAAGAGATCAGGGTAAAGCTGCTTTCTCGGCTAGAGGAGAATTCTCGGGAGATACACTGCAGTGTGAAAAACGCCTGAGCAGTCTTGAAAGACTAACAACGAACCAAATCGCTCGTGCCTATCCACGAACCCAACAAACAGGTGCCTTAGGTTTGACGTCCGATCAATGTGTTTTTGCCTTGTCCGATAGCTATCAGAAATCTCTGGAGACATCGGCAACTACATCCTTGTTTCAACGTATTGTTAGTTCATTTAGACAAGGCTCAGGTAAAGAAAAAGCCTAGATCTGTGCACTACAATGGCCAATTTTCCTGTCTCATCGTCACAGCTTTGTAAATTTCTTTTCAAGAGATTAGGTAGAAACTTGTGTACAAATCTGTCCGGAGGAGAATCTGCGCTCATGTTAGATGAAGTTTTGAAGCAGCTCGATTTAAAAGATGGGCATACTATTCTTGATATGACATTTGGTGAAGGCTTTCATACTGAAGCCATTTTAAGAACTAATCCTACGGTCAATGTGATAGCTTTAGACAGAGATCCTCATGCTTTCCTTAGAGCAGAAAAACTTGCGGGGAAATATCCTGGTCGAGTGAAACCTCTGTTGGGGCGTTTTAGTGACCTGCCAATGCTTCTGAATCCATTGGGAATTTCACGAAATTTCCTTGATGCCATTTTCTTAGATGTAGGCTGCTCTTCAAAACAGCTCAATGATGCAGGACGTGGTTTCTCTTCTGAAATTGATGGCCCATTGGATATGAGAATGGATGGCTCTGATTCCTCTGGCATTACAGCTATGGATGTTCTAATGACTGCCAATGAACATGACTTGGCTCGAATAATAAGGATATATGGTGGGGAAGAGCAGAGCAAAAAAATTGCTGGAGCTATTGTAAAATGTAGACATACATTTGAACCTTTGAAATCCACGCTACAGTTAAGAGATTTTGTTAGAGGAATTTGTGATGCAAAAAGCAATAGAGCAGTACAAAATGTATTTTATGCTCTACGAACATTTGTCAATAACGAATTTAATGAACTTAATTATGCTATGCTCTTGGCAGAGCAATATTTGAAGAAGGGTGGACGCATTGTATCATTAACATTCAATCACTTAGAAGATTTAATTGTAAAGAGACACATCACTGGTAATGTCTTGGAAAATAACCCAAATCCAGTCCCATTGAAATATTACAGCCAGTCTTACAATTTGACCCCAGACGAAATAAATGAATTGAGAAATTCCCAGTGGTCACCCCTGACAAAGCATGTCATAACTGTAAAAGGGCATTTTAATCACCCTGATGGTCGTGTTAGAAAAGCAAAGCTAAGAGGAGCTATGAAATTGTAATCTAGGAACAAATTGGAATTGATATATTCTGTGTAATGAATCATATTAGTACAGTAAATAAAATATTGACAAATAAAACGACTTTTCAGTTCCCTATTTTAAACAATTTTGTAGAAAATTTATCATTGAAAGCATGCATAAGTTACCAGCATACCACACGTATGAGAAAAGACCTCCAGCTTGAAATGCCCGCTTGTTTTTCTCCGAACAGTGGTTCCAGTCTTACCAACCAAATCTCGAGAAGGGGTTAAGACTTGGTTAAAAGTCAAACAAATGAGGCAAAAGTGAAACTTGAAGGGACCAACATGTGATATTTTCAAAAAACAAGAATAAACATGAAGAAATTTAAAGAAGAGTGGACGGTGGACACTGTCTGGACTGTTTCCAAAGAGCTGACAAGTGTTTATTTGCAGCTGCTGGGTGTGGGGTGAATAATCTTCTCTCCCCCCCCCCCTCCCCCTCTGCTCCTGCTTAATGTTTGGTTAGTTTGTCACATCTTCTCAACGGCTTTATTTATTTTTGTCCATGCTTTGTCAACCATCGTGGCCCCGAGCTGGATTTTTCGGAGAGTCCTTTGTTTAAGGGAAACATTTTAGCTTAAGTGAGTATTGTCACTTTCATACTGTTTTCTCAGATGGAATGTAGACTTTCTGTTTTGACAGTTCGACCTCACTTATCAATGCAGTACCGGCTCCTAGTCATGTTGCCTTTAGTTTCCTATTTATTTCAGTCCAAGGTACTACGCACATTTTTTTTCACATTCAAGAGTTTCCCTGTACATGAAATGACCATACCTGAATTCACTTGAATGCGTTCACATAATGTCAAAGTCAACGCACTAATATATATGTTTTGTTAGCTTTCATTTCTAGTTGCATCATGTCATCTCCTGCTCCAAAGTCTCCTGAGCAATCAGACAAGACTAAGAAATATGACAGACAACTCAGGTAAGGCACTTATTCGGTGATTGATGGTTGAAGCCAGCTTCCAAATGAGACAAATCCAGAAAGTTGACATTGAAGAGTTTCTCTTTCAGATTATGGGGTGATCATGGTCAGGCTGCCCTTGAAGCATCCCAAGTGTGTCTCATCAATGCCACAGCAATGGGAACAGAAATTTTAAAATCTCTGGTTCTTCCTGGCATTGGTGGTTTTACTATTGTGGACGGGAAAAAAATTGCAGAGGAAGACATTGGATCGAAGTGAGAAGAATTTTCATTTGTTGTTTTCCTTTGGAAGTAGTTTTGGGAACAAATTGGTTACTTACTGTTTTGTGTCGGTGCAGCTTTTTCTTAGAAGCTGATAATGTTGGCAAATCCAGAGCTGCTGTGGCCTTGCGTTTACTGCTGGAATTAAATTCTGATGTACATGGAGATTCTGTAGATGAGGATGTGGATCAAGTTCTTGTCAACAACCCTGACTTCTTTAACAGCTTTCATGTTGTGATTGGAACAGCATTGTCAGAAAGGTACTGCTCAGATCAATGTAAACCCAAGGCTAACTTACCTTGTTTTCAACTTTTTGTTGGTTTTGTTCGGTCGCAGGACACTGACAGCTCTTTCTGAAAAGCTTTGGGAATGTGGAATACCTCTGATCACTTGTCGCAGTTATGGTTTCCTTGGATACATGCGTATTCAAGTAGCTGAACATACTGTAAGAAATGCTTCAATATCATTTTGTTAATTTCATTGTCGTTTTATCGACTGCACATTTCATGTGTTGTATTTCAGGTGGTGGAGTCTCATCCCGATAATCAAAATCCTGACCTGCGCCTAGACCAGCCTTTTCCTAGCCTTCAAGAGCATGTTGAATCCATACAACTAAGTTCATTAGAGCTGAAGGAACATGCTCACATACCGTATGTGATCCTTTTACTCAAGTTCTTAGAAAAGTGGAAAGCTGAAAAGGGACCTTCCCTTCCCAAGGATAGAAAGGAAAAAGAGCAATTTAAGGAGATGATAAGACAAGGTTTAAACTTTTTACTTTCTGCTAATTAAGAGTTTTCTCAAATCCATTGTTGTTTTATTTTCAAATTGTAAATCTAAAATGCTTTAGGTCTTCTGGTGGATGAGCATGGCAATGTAGAATCTGAGGAAAATTTTGAGGAAGCTATTAAAGCTGTGAACTCAACTGTTCAGCCGACTTCAATACCTTCTAGTGTTAAAGAGATACTGGATGATGATGCTTGTGTCAACCTCACAGCCAAGGTTTTTTTTTCTGTTTACGTTATGGTGATTCTTGTTTTTGTTTAAGTCTTTTCAGACTTCAGTTCATGGCTTAAAATTGTTTTGCAGAGCAAACCATTTTGGATTATGGCTAAAGCTATCAGAGACTTTGTTGAAAATGAAGGAAATGGTAACTTACCTTTGCGTGGTTCTGTTCCTGACATGACAGCAAAAACTGACTACTATGTTGCTCTTCAGCAAGTGTAAGGACGTTTCTGTGTTTTTTTTTTGTTTTTTTTTTAAATCTAGTTTAGTGTTGGTTACGTTTAGCTTTTTCTATTCTTGTGAAATTATGACGTGTGCTGATTTCTCAGGTATCATGAACAAGCGGCCCGTGATACCGACGTGGTATATCGCCGTGTTCAGCAGCTTTTGCACCAGCTCAATCAACCTGCAGACACCATTTCAGAGTCTGATGTTAAACTATTTTGCAAACATGCAGCATGTCTTAGTGTAATGAGGGGTACCAAAATTGCGGAAGAATATGTCTCAAAATCTACCAATGCTGCATTAATAGGTAAGCTAGTGAGCATTGAAACAAACCAATCAATGAGTGATGTATAATCCTGTGAGAAAAAGAAATTTGTTTTAGTCGGGTTTGTTCTAACTCTTTCTTTACTTTTCTTTTCTTGTCTCTCATCGTCATGGAAATATTTTCAGCTCAAGAGCTAGAGAACCCAGACAGTATGATGGTGTACTATGTTATGCTTCGTGGAATAGATCGATTTTACTCTGAATACAATGTGTACCCAGGCGAGTTTGAGGTAGAGCCTGATATAATCAAACTGAAGGTAAGTTGTGTCTACCCTTTGTGCTGTATTATTTCTTCAATGAAACCTCAAAGTCTTGTAAAACTGTGATTGTTGAAAACAGAGTTGCATATCAAAACTCTTAAGTGAGTGGGGATGTGGAACATTAGCCAAGGATGACTATGTTCATGAAATTTGTCGTTATGGAGGAGCTGAACTGCACTCAGTTTCATCATTTATCGGTAAGTATTAAACAAATGTTCCCTTGTCATTTCTTTTTCTTGTGAATTTGGTCACAGAGATCACTTCTATTTATTCAGGTGGCTGTGCTGCTCAAGAGGTCATCAAATTTATAACTCATCAATACAAGCCAGTTAATAATACTTTCATCTATGATGCAATGACTTCAAACTCTGTAACATACAGTTTTTGAGAAGTGGTCTTGAGAAGCATGCTTACTTGACTGATATGGCTCTCCTGTTCCTCAAACCTAGTGTGCTGGTATGTGTGTGGAAGGTCCCAGTTCCCGTTTCTTTCTGATTGTTCTTATTCTCCACAAATTAAATTGATGGATGAAATCGTTGCTTGTTCTAAACTGAATTGTTACATATGGAAACATAATTTAAATCTAATCATAACAGCTTTTTTTTTTTTTTTTTTCATTTTGCTTTTCTTTAATTAGCTTTGTAAACCAGTCACAAACAAACCCATTTGATTATTGTTCCTTTTTTTGTTTTGTTTTTATACTTTTAAATATAATGGATTTGTTTTCAACAAGCCAAACAGGAAATACAATTTTCTTAACCAACAGCCTATTAAATCCTTAGCTATCATGGCAGAACTCCCAAACAGCAACAGAATGTAAAATAGCATAATCATGCCTACAATTCTAGAGCCTTTGCAGATTCTCTCAGATTTTCATGGTTGAGTCATGGTAGAAATTGTTCATCACTAAATAGTGTTGCAGAACTGTTCAGATATTTAGCCAAGCCACCACTTGGGGAAAGAGAGAGTAGAAATTCACAGATGACTCCTAGTTTGCAACATCTCAACTCTGAAAAAATGATGGGACGAGCTTAACTCTCACATGGCTCTCAAGCTTAAGGCAAAACATGACCAAAGTATTGCACTTCTAACATTTAATAATTCATAGTAATTACATAACAATTTTTTTTTTCTTTTTCTGACAATTTCTTGCCATATGCTTTGTAGCATTTTCACTATTAATAATACACACCATAACCAAGATGACATGCTGACACCTATCATAAGTATAAAATTCTGCAAATCGGACAATATATACTCAAAAGTTTAAAATGCAGCTATTATACTTCACTAATGACTTAGTGTAGGATTATGTTTTTCATTGTGTTGTGAAGCCAACACCTCAAATTGACTGACTTTAGCAATCCCTTCCATTTGCAATCAATAATGATCATAGGTACTCATATTTTTGCTTGAAGGTGAAACCTGACTGTAAATGAAGGCTGAGGCAACCATAAAGAATAAAATAAGTCAAGCAAAACAACCAATTTATCACCTGACCCAAAAGAGTGTGGCTCCAAATGTCTTTAAATTCCTGTTTAATTATTCCTAGCCAAGGAAACAGCTAATAACATACATCCTAAAGGACTACAAGAAAATTCCTGAGTATTATTAAATTACTCTCGGAAACATTCTAGGATCTTATGCCATTCGTTGCAGTAGATATATGTCTGCAAGATTCTTTGTTTTGACTTCTTTCCCCACATACTAGCAATGTGTGGGATCAGAAGCAACCAATGGCACAAAATAAGGTATTGAGAGGTGAAATGAGGCCAGCACTGTAACGTGCGAGTTCAGAGAGACTACAATTCTTACAAAAAGGCGACCTTTCTTCTTCAATCAAAACATGTTTAACTAAAGCAATCTTCAACCATGAACAGGCTTGAAAGTTTGCCTGAAGATTGCAACCAACATCAACATATTTCCTGCTTTCTCTTTTAAAATAACCCAAGGAAAACAGACGTCCTTCACAAATATAGAAGTACAGCATTTATACTTATAACCAAAGACATGTAACTTTATACATAAATTCATAGACCAGAAACATTTTTTATTTCATTTTGCTCAAAATGGTAATTGTTGGTAGTATCAGCCTAAACACACAAAAATTATTTACAAAACGTGCCATTATTGACTAAATTTACATTTTTACATCTAATCTGGACTCTTTTATATCAGGATGTTCCAATGTATTTTATAAACAAATGGATTTCTTCTCCAGTCTCACAGTTAATATTTAGGGTGACAGAAAATCAAATCATAGTATAAATGAAATCTAGATGGTCGAAAACTTTAATTATTATTAGAAAATAAACGGTCTCCAAATCTTTAGTCTAAGAAGTGATTGTAAACATCCCTAAGAGCTTGGTGAAACCCACAGAAAACAGAAGCTTAAGTAGTTCCAAAATTAAAGCAAAACATAAATGATAATATTTAAAACAGGACAGTCACATGTCACATCTGAGAAGCTTTCTTTCTGAACTTTTTAATGAAGTCAACAAATAAAAATCAGATGTGTCGAAGAGGACAGATATTGAAAGCATTATCAATGGTTTGAGCAGAGCGCTAAAACACACCATGTAGTGCCACTTGTCTCTTTAAAATGATGAAGAGGGAATCACAGAAATGTTTGCTGTTAACATTTATTTGGAGATAATCAGCTAAAGCCACAACTTAATGAAAAAGTGATATCAATCCCCTCAGCAAACAACTATCTGAACTTAGAAATGACTACTCATAGAAATTTTAAAAGAATAAAATGTCACACAGACAGGAGAATGGTAAAGGCATAAGAATAAGATGACCAAAATACACTGTAGTAACAAACTCATTTTATAAGTTAAAGCTCTCCAAAATATGTTATACACAATCAAACACAGAGGATACATCTGGTTTGCTAAAAAGGACAGTGCAGGTTCCTCTATAGAGAAGTGAAAAAATGCATTTTTCTATGCTGCTGGAAAATTTATGCAAAATGTGACAGTTGAAATCTTATCACCCACTAAAAACAAGTAAAACCTATAGGAAAACATGAACAAAAGATCTTTGACTTCTTTCCTACTAAATCCGAACTTATCTGATCTCAGTGATAAGAAATTTGTAAAAGCAGAGCACAAACAAGAATTAAACAAAGCTAGACTGAAGGAATTGCTTATTATCATTACCTCTTACTGGGAGACCTGACAATAAAGGAAACAAAATACAGGAGTAAGCATTGAGCTTTGCAACACAAGGTAAATAAATAATGTTAACAACTAGCGCAATCTTGATGTGTCACAGCCTATATAAACGACAAGTCAGAATAAGCTGTCCATAGGAGACAACAATTTCATTCATTTTCTGAAAAGTAGCTAGGATTCCCAATGTGATACAAACTCACATTTAAAAGAACTTTTGAGAACTATAGGCGGAGGGCAGTTTGAAAGCTAATGATACTCGCGCGCGCATACTCACACACACACACAAACACACACATACACAAACACCAAAAAGATATTACACCTCAAAATATAAATATCACTTATAAGTCAATGAAAAATGAGAAGCAGGTGAATAGATAACACAAGAGATTTAAGATGAAACAAAATTGAAGCGCCCCTGGTGGGTTAAAAACAGTAACTGATTTAATAAGCTTCAGAGGAGCCTGCACTTGGAAGGAATATTACAAGCACATTGTAACTGGAGAGAAACTCTCTTCATTCAACCACTAAACTAGGCTCAGAATTAAGCAAAATATGATCCAAATTACCAGATGTGGCCATAGTGTTGGATATATAACGTATAGCAGAGTCCATAAACAACCATCAAATGGTCAGATAATATGGAACAACCTATATTTTATCTATTCACAACTGCATCTTACACCTTAAGCCTGGCAAATTTGAGGGTCAATTGAAATAGGTAAAAATTTTATATTTCTTTTATTTAAAAAAAAAAGGGGGAGGGGCAAAATGCTTTTTAAGAAATGAGTGCAAAGGCAAACCACTTTTCCTACAATAACACTTCAGGGATTCACTGATATAGAGAGGGTAGAGAGGGAGTACAACCAAAGCTCTTGTATGGGAATTAGAATTTATCCACTAACATTAAATTTTATGTGGAATGGAGACATGACTAAGGCAACAAGAGAGAGAGAGAGATGGAGGGAAGGGATACACATACTGTTGCCGAGAATAAATTCCATATCAGCAAATTTGAAGCTGCATTAAGTACATGCAATCAAAGGATAAATTTGCCAAGGACAATGCCCACCATGCAAACAACAATTGCAATGATAACCATCACGGGTTGAACAGGCTGTGCCGCTTGCTGTGCCATTGATGAACGCATTGGGACTGACTGGCTGTGGCCTTCTGACTTGCATAGGAGTTGAAGTCTCAAGACCTCTTCCTGATAAGTTCAAAAGGAAGCACAACAAAATTAGAAATGATTGATTCAGTTTAAAGCCACACACAAAAATAGATTCAGAATTAAGTTCAGAAAAGGACACCAACCTTGAGCATCATGTTTTCATGTCGCAAAGAGCTTTCATCTTCCCGTAGTTGCTTTACCTCTTTCGCAGCTTTTTGTAGTTCTCCGTCTTGATGATGAATGCTTGGCTGTACAAAATATGGCTAATATGAGCATTGTGAATGGACTAAAGCTACACTACTTTTCAGACAAAAGAAAAAAAACACACCGAATCACCAATCCTCTTGTTCTTGTCTTCATGACTTGGTGCTGAATTAGAAAGAACAGCACTTGATGCTTCCACAGCAGGTCCTGTGCCAACTGTGTTACTCTCCTTTCTTTCAAACACACATTTCAACTTTGTGCCCATAACAGCATCCTCTTTAACATCCTTCCACTGCAACAACAAAACCAAACAGTAAAAGAACAAGGCAAAACTTATATATCATGGTGGGTAAAAGACGATGTGGATAGTAAACAAAAATCTGAACTAACCAAAGATTCCAGATTATAGTCTCGATCAGGTACAAAAATGGACTGCACCATGAATTTGTGTTTATTTTTCTCTGACTGATCAAAGTCAAGTGCCTGAAGACTCACTGAAAGACATTTGAAAACAAATACATTTAAATGTGATCCATTCTCAATTGTATCTTATTTTGCACATCACCTTGTATCAGTTTCCATACTCACCAGCAATGTTGGTGAATTCTTCCGGTTCCAAAACTCCAGAATTTGGCCGAACACAATATTTCTTTGGTGCTGTTGTTTTAATTTTAAAACCAATTGTTTTATCTGAGGGATTTGTTAGTTTTATATATGACGTGATCGGACTTTTGAATGACCCTGCAACATAAACAAAACACATGAATTTTGTAAAACGATAACTAGCCAAGTTGGTCAAAATTTAACCCAAATCACAAAACAAAAAAGTTATTTTTCAAGAAAGGTGGGTGTTAATATAATTCTTATTCTTGCTTTGCAGTACTCTAAATTATTTGCTGCAAAATATATCAAGACAACCCATTAGATTAGAGAAGGCCCTTCCCAATTAAACCTAGAAATTGATGACACGATTGAAATATTTGATGAACTTTTATATTGAACTAGAATCACAGAACCTGTACACACTAGAATGTATTGCTTGGAAAAACTTGAAAAGGGTGCTGACTTGAAAGATTTTTGTGCCTTATTGCATATTTTAAGACAAAAAATGATAATATTGACTTAACCCTAACTAGGTTATAATTATCTTTGAAGGCAGCATATGAAACTTTTATCACTCGTAATTAAAACCTAGAAAAATATCAACAGGTTAAAAAAAAGAAAACCATGTTTAAAATGCCCTCACATATGAATAATCTAACAATTATATTGTGTACAGAGGTAAAGAAAAGATGACCCACAAGGAGGGTGAAGACTTTGAACGAACGAAGGTTGAACAATGTAAAGCGGATAATACCAGACAGTGTTACGGAATGAAAAAGAGAACACAAAAAGTGCCAAGACGACGCCGATAACGAAGTAATATGCGACACAGGTCAAATCTTGGAAACTGTCATCGGTGGCACCCCTAGGAAAACCCGTACAAAACGGTTGGGCGTCGGAGGCGAGGGGGCGTAACGCCAGACATAAAATTAGGGAATTTTATGTCGAAACCAACAGATGAAAACTAGATGATAGGAACGTGTAATTCGAGCAACAGACAGAGACCTCAAAAGCGCATTAGGCCAACATCAAAACCTGGTCCATTTTTTTTCCTCCTCCGAGGGTTCAGTAGAATTTTACACTCACCTACAAACTTCAGCTCATGTTGAGGCTCTATGATTAAAACCTGGTCCGTTTTCGACATGGTCTAGGCGTGTTTACAACCAAATTTGAAACAATCAGATTATTAAAACACAAAAAATGACAAAACCGGGACAGCTCTTCACCCAGTCTTCACCAAGACTTCTCAAAATTACGCATGCGTCACGGCGGAAACATAGCGTGTGGCGCACACTGTGACGTCATATGCTGCAAAATTATCGCACTAGATTTGAAAAGTTCTCAAGCGGACTGACAGTGGACGGAGACAGCGAACTGACAGTGACTACAAAAGAATGATTCTCGTAGATGACCAAATTTTATGGCTCTGAGGCAAGCAGTTAAAGAATGTTACTTCAAAATTGGCCAGAAAAAGACTGTTAAAGTCGAGACCGTCGGTTGCTCCAAGAGCCATCTGTCGGTCATAACGGAAACTGCAGTTCCTATTTTCAGCTATTTTCGCTCCAAAACAGTTCTCAAGCGGCTGAAAAGGTTTCTTTTCCAGACAATTGAGTTAAATGAGAATATTTCAAATAGAAAAATAGGCTAGTAACGTCCTATTGCGATTTACAGAATGCAACAAGCTTTGTCCTCAGGCTCAAAACTTTGCCAGGCTCTATAGCCAAACGGCTCAAGAGAACGACAAGATAAAGAAACAAACAAATGTTAAATGTTGTGATGAGAGAGAGAAGGAAAGTAGAGAGAGAGGCAGATTTAAGACCGAAGTGTGGCGATGTGATTGTGATGGTTTAGACGAGAAACTAGAACATTTGTGCGTTGATTTGTTATAGTGAGGTGTTCGCTGTTCACATGATTGGTGCTCGCATCTATCGCAATGGAAACTTTACTCCCTTCCGAGGTCGCAAGACTAGTTTTAGGTTCGTAGAAACAACGTTGTTTGGATTGTTCGTCTAGGCGGGAAATCGTCTAAGCCCTTGATCTCATTCTTTGTACTATTTATTTTATCACATTTGCTTTTTACACCCTTCTTGGTTTATTGCATTCTAAGCATTTTGTGGCTCTTCCCTTTTCAATTAAATGGTGCTCTCTGCCTTAATTTCTAAGTTAAAATATCTTTTCTGTGCTGAAGAGACTTGCTCCTTGGCTGTGGTTACTTTCTTTGTTTATTTAATATTTCGGTACGATGTTGACTTGGTGGCACGTAAAACGTTTTTGCTCCTCTTCTGAAAGGAATCAACCATATCAGTCTTTTCTTTATTATCTTTATGTTACTCCTTTCAACAATTTGTAACTTTCTATCAACCATGTTGACAATTTTTTGACACACATTTTTTATATCAATCCTTGAACTTGACTTCATCCTCTTGCCAAAATCTCTGGGATTTATGGTGTGCTTTTGTATTCTATGTGTTTGTCAGAGTTAAATACTTGTCATTCTCATTGCGGAAGTGATAATAAGTGTCAAGCGACAAACGTAATGCATATGTCCCATTTTTAACCTGTTACAGGCTATCTAGAGGACGAAAAATGCACAGATGCAGCAAAATGTTTCCTGGATTCCTCACTTCACTTAAACGAAATTCGCATCCTTGCTCAAAAAGGAAAAAAATATCCTACCAAAGTGAATGGATTTAGTTTGGCAGAGGTGCTAGAAGAATACTGTCTGATTTATACAATTGGTAAGTTGGTTATTCTTACCTTCTTTTATTGTATTTCATCATCAATTCAGTGTCTTATTTGCCTGTGTACCCCATGTATACTTACTCTTCCATGTGCGTTTGTACCATTCAAGAGGTTATGGTATTTTGTTAACATAAATTTGTTCATTGTCTTAATATTTCAACTCTCTCACTATCACTTGGTTTGCAGTCCAGGAGAGTCTCTCTTCAATGACAGAACAGCCAAATGGTGGAAGTTTGATTGACAACCTGCGGTATGTGGTTCGACATTGTCAACCAGTTCAAGTTCACATAAATTTACATCCACAGGTTTGTATCTTTTACACATTCCTGTAGTATTGCCAAGTGCCATGTTGTTAGCTAATTCAGCTATATCTTCTGAACCTTTATTTCAGGGTCAAAATTCATCAACAAATAAATCTGAGGTTTTTGACTCGTCCACGGGTTCCAACCGCCCACGTTCAAGAAAGACCACTGTGACCCAAGGGCAAGTTGCTGAAAATGTAGATCAAACATCCACCTCTCAACCAGGTTTGTTTTAAATAACATTTGTTTATTTTTCAAAGACCTTATGCTTTTTATTTAAATGTTTTCTTCTCTTTCAGCATTAAATTCAACTGTCAAAGATAGCAGTACAGCTGAAAGACTAGTTGCAATAAGCACTTCAGATACTCACCTCACGGCCCAACCCCCTCTTCATGAGCCACAACTTGTGACATCTGGAAATCCAGTCTGTACTCAAGTGAATCAAGATGCCAACATTGATACTGAGTTCAGCTCACCCAGCCTATCAAACTTTCCAAGTTGTCAAAATGCTGGCTTATCATCAGAACCTGTTCAAAATGCTCTGCCAGAGTCAAGCAGCACATTTCAGATTGTGAATATGGATACCCAGGAACAAAACTCCTTAATAACTACCACCCAACAATCTGATTCGTCTCTTGTATTAAGAAGTGTTCAACAAGTTCCATCTGCAGCTATCAATTCTAATAATGAAGTAGTGATGCATACAGGTGCTGAATATTTACGATTAGAAAGTGTCAAGACTCAAAACAACTGTTCCAAGCCAGAAGAACCTAATTGTTCGTTTGTCACCAAATGTTACGGCTCTAGTATTGTTTTCTTGGATAACAATGCTCTTTCTGAGCCATGCACATCCAAAACTTTGCCCCCCAGTAATAGTATTCAAGGTGTGTAGCACTCTTTCTTCCCTTGTTGCTGTGGTACATTTTAGATTTTGCTATCTTTAAATGTCTTTGTTTCAGAAAATTATGACTATGCTCCAATTCTCACTCCAACTAAGACTCCATATGATAGAAGAGTATGTTCATCATTGAATTATTTATTTTGTAAATGTGCTTTGAAGTTACTTTTCAACTTTACACTTCTAAATTGTGTTTACAGATACTAGCAGAAGCTGCAGAAAAGTTTAAAGAAAAACTTTTAAATAATGATGAAATAGTTTCAAAACTTGTAGAAAATATTAACAAAGTCTTCACCCCAGCAAAGGAATCTGATAATTCTCTAGCAGTTCCCTCAGAATCATTTGCTGAATTTTCCAAAGAGCCTTATCTTGATGACTTTCTTCATGAGTTTCTACAATGTATGTTGTTAGTATTCTAGTTGAGTGTTGATTTAAGTATTGCTGTACTGATTGTATTTTTCTGTCAGCTACAGATGATCACGATCTCACTATAAGTTCTGAAGGAGAGCAAGTTCGTGTGTTGTAAGTATGATTTTTGTTTTCTTGGGCCGTACTTTAGTTAAAAATACTGTATCACTTGTGATCAAGATATTATCATTATCACCATCGTTTTTCAGAAATAGTTCACCGGGTTCAAAGAAAAAGAAATCTGTTGCAAAGAACAATAATGGTGGTGTCAGCAAGCTGAAACAACTGTGTGAAAATGCTGTCTCAAATATAAGTAAGTAAATTCCTCTGGTGCAACATTATTATTATTATTAGAAATTCTTATGCTCTTTTTTATTTTCTTAAAGGTGGTGAAAGCAGCACGCCATCCAAACAATCTCTTGTCAAACTTATAAACTCTGCCAATTTTACTGTACCTGAACGAGCAACACCCATGAAAGGGGCTTCAGAAGCTGAAGTCATGACTCCTATGACCAAACTTATCAAGTCTATTACCTCACCTAGCGGAGAACTTTACTTGGAGCCTTCACAATTCTCTAATCTTATTGATGTTCCATGTAAAGACCAATCTTTACCAGCTTTGCAGGCACCAAATCAGTTTTCTCATACCTATCCTATTGCTCTCAATAATGCAATTGAGGTACCTAGACCTCATGGACCTCCTCTTCATGTGCCAGTAGTTAATTGTAGTCCAACGGAAGTGGTGGAGTACACCAATCAAGAGGGAGTTAGCACCATTTGTGAGTACTGCTGTTATTGGTGCCTAGTTCCTTGCTTTAAAATTACATCAACTAATTTATCTTCTGTTTATAAGCGAACTGATCCATCATTTTTGTTAGCTACAGGTACAATTGAGGTAGTACGTAGTACATTCGTACCAATTGCCCCTAAATTAGAACCAGGTGATGTTTTGCTACAAGGTATGTAACTTAACTAAAAGTTTGTCAAGTTTGTCTTCAAGTCCGAAGTAACCAAGTTCATAACTTTGTTTTCCTTTTCTATTATTTTTTTTCTAGTTCCTTTTGAAACATTTCAATTAGAACAACCAAAGAAAAGGCAGCAGCGTGCAAAGCAGTGCATTACAAGAGGAGGCCGGCAGTCCAGTGGGCAAACGCGAGCTGCCAAACTCAAAGCTGCTGCCAAAGAAATAGCTGCTTCCAAAGATGCACCTGCTGCCAAAGATGCAGATGTTGCCAAAGACGCAGCTGCTATGACTGACACCGCAGAATTAGTAACAATCTATGCTGCTGATGGTATAGAATGCAACACTGTTTCATATAGTAGCTCATCAGATCTACCCATTCTCATGTCAGATAATTCTGATGAAGCCACTGGGGTTCAGCCTTTAGAAAGTGACAGTAGTAATAAGGACTTGCCAAAAAATGCTCAAAACGAGCCCAGCAGTGACGGACCACCTGAATTAACAAATGATGCACCAATTTCGGCAGGTATTGAAAACGATGGTCCAAAGGCAGAAGATAACTGCTTACCACCTCTGAATGCATCCCTAGTTCGCAATACGCCTGGGTTCAATGGCGCTGCCAGAGCTAATGAGAAACGTATGAGCTTCAGCACTCCTCGAAGGCGTCTCAGCCACATTAGAGCTCTTGACTTCAATACACCACCCAAAGATAGTGACCAATCAATCAGAAGAGCGAATACATCACCCAAAAATATGTCTGTAAATGCTCTGTCACCAAACACTACAGGCAAATCGATTAAGTCATCATTAGCGGGAAGCCTGTTCAAGGCTCCAGGTGACGGCTCTCAGAGGACAAGTAAAGTCAAGGCCCATCTTTTCAAGTCCCCTGACTACCCTTTCTCCTTGTCAAGTGGGTACAAAATTCCATCTTCTGCTGTTACTAGTACACCTTGTGAAGCAAGTTGCAGTAAAGATGGTGACTCTCTACAACAACCCAGTAGTGCGTGGGACAAAATTGGTGGAGTAAGCCTCATCCTTGATTCAGCTGTGTCACCTGTGAAGCGTGTGGAGCCTCAGTGCAAAAAAGGACTTAAGTCCTGGGATTCTGATCTGAGATCTCTTATCAGCTCGGATCCTGAGCCTTTACCAAAAGAACCTTCAAGTGTACAACCTGCTCCTAAACGGAAAGTACCACCTCCTGCTCAGAGAAGACGAGTAAGAGGGAAGAAAAATCAGAAGACAGAAGAGACAAAGTCAAAAGAAGAAGCACCTGATAAAGGGGACGAAGCTGAGAAAATTACTGATCAAAGTGTTGCAGAGAAGAAATCCTTTGAAAAAAGCCATGAAATTAGTACTGCATCAGATTGTGAAATGGCCAAAATGTTAGAAAATAATTTAATGGATGCAAGTTCTGAGAGTACTAAGAAGGAAAGTCCACCAAAATCTTCTGTCACAACTGCTTTGATAAGTGAGAGAAACACGGAAATACCCTGTGAGGGGAAAGTCATCGGAGAGAGTGCTGCTAATCGTGAATCATCCTGTGCAAAACCAGCATTGTCTGAAACCGCAACAGAAGGAAACTCTCATGAGGATTCAAGCAACACTTTAACTGAAATGGATCAGTCAAACAGTGGTAGTGATTGCAATCTGAACAGTGTATCAAATATTGGATTGTTAGATTCTCCAAAAGAAACAATCCCTACCAAAGCTCAAGCACACGAAGAATCTGTAAATAATTGTGAAGATACTGTCACAAATAAGGCAAGCACTCCAGTGGCTGATGGCATAATTGGATCAGCAGTAGAAAAGTTTCGTCTCAGTAAGGCAACTTTGAAGGAATCCTTCTCATTTGAGACACCATTGAAGGATAATGCTTTTGCTAACATGATCCCACAAACCCCTTGTTTCCTGGACCCTAGCTCTCAATCTAATGAAGATACACCACGCACCAAGATTATCAAAGCTATACCTCTTCCCATGATGCCTTCAGCAGAGACAAGTGAAAGTAACACACCAACGCTTCCACCCACCCCTACTATTCGCACCACCACTCCTTCGGTGTCCCCCACTATCCCTTACTATCAACCCAAGGAGTCACCATCCCGCCGAACACAGATTTTCAAAAGTTCACCTAAAATGAAATCTTTTGACAGCCTAAATAGTATACTAGTTCAAGAGTGCTCGAGATTAGAAGCATCAGGGATGCGTGAATTACCCAAAAAATGTGTAATTGAACCCTCTCAGAACCAGGACCAAATTCAAGTCCTAATTGAAAGTGAAGATGATGCTGACATCACAAAGGGTTCTAGTGAAGATGGCACTTCTACGGCAAACAAGGAGCAAAATAACGATGTCATGGAGGTCGACATAAAATTGGGATGTGCCAGACTAATGAGCTACAAAAGGAAGCCGCGTCCAGATCAAATGAACAAACTAATAATAGATGCGCTGTCAGAGCCTTCTAGGAGAAGAAATTGCTCATCGGATGAAAATGTGGACTGCATGATTGTGTCACCTCAAAAAGATGCATTGGAAAGTTCCACTAAGGATAAACCTCCTTCACCTCAAAAAGATGTATTGGAAAGTTCCACTAAGGCTAAACCGCCTTCACCTCGAAAAGATGCATTGGAAAGCTCCACTAATGATAAATCGCTGTCACCTCAAAAAGACGCATTGGAAAGTTCCACTAATGATAAATCTCAACCTAAAGAATGTACATGTGATCCTGAGATACTAACATCACCTCGACCCTCTGTATCAAAAAGCTCAGAGTCAAAGATTTCTCCTGAATGTACCTACAATGATGAGGTAGCAACATCTTGTAGACATTCATTGTCGAATGCCACAAATTCAGTATTAGAAACTGTTAATTCTGAGATTCAAGAAGCTGAAGAGATACTTGGTAGGAAAGTTTTTGGCACTAAGCTTTCGATTACACCTTCTAAATCACTCCAGCCACTTCAAAAAATTCTTTCATCTCCTGTTGTATCTCCTTCAGATAAAAAACAACCTGGTGTAGGTTTGGCTGTTTCTAACGTCAGCCCTCTTAGGCATGAAGCAAGTTCACCTTTGAGGAAACCTCTCTCAACTCCTGTGAAGATGAAAAGTGTGGAAAAGTCGAAACCGTCCTCTTCTAAGAAGAAAACACCACGAAAAAGAAATCCTTTAGAATCAGATGATGATGATGATGATGATGATTTGCCCTCTTCTAAGAAGAAAACACCCCGGAAACGAAATCCTATAGAATCAGATAATGATGATGATTCTTCAGATTCATCGTCATCATCATCATCAGGGTCAAGCTCTGCTTCAGACACAAATTCTTCTTCATGTTCATCTAGCAGTGATGAAAGCACACCTGTCAAAGAAAATGCATCCCCTGAAAAGCAACCTACTCCCTTGAAATCAAGAACTAGGAGGTCTGCTGAAAAGGATCAACCTAAACCTGACCTTGCTGCTTCTCCAAGTGCTCTCGAACAAGAAGCTCCACCATTGAAACCTTCTGGAGCTGAAATCACTGAGATTTGCTCCAACGTGTCAGAAGTTGTGGGTTCATCTGGACAAGTGTCTCAAGAAGCTGAGGCAGCAGCACATGTTAATCATGAATTGAAGTCTTTAATAGAAACCAAAGATATGGGAACTTGTCAAAGAATTGCCAGCAGTCGAAATGCTCATAGTGCAAAAGTGTCTGATATAATAAACGAAATGCAAGAGAAACGGCGGCGCACTCTTGATGCTTTAAAAAAAGGTTCATCTGGCCGGTCAAAAAATTCTAAGGATAAAGTATTAAATCCATTTGCAATGCATAAAACACAGGAATCTATGAAGCCAGAGATAGTCTCTCGAAGAAAGCAGGTTGGAATAGCTGATAAGCAACAAACCAAAGAGCCAAATTCAAGTACTGAAGCGCCAAAGAATCAACATTCCAAATCTGATCCTGAAAAGCCTGTAAATGAAAGAGAATCTCAAGAAGGACGTCGCTCTCTGTCTGATGGCACTACTAATCCACAGTCAGATGAAGATGAAGGTTATAAACTTCATTTAGATGAAGAAGATGACAAAGATGAACCACCACCAGAAACATCAGCTCAGCCAATAGACGAAGTAGAAAAACAAATAGCAGCTATGCATGAAAGTATTTTATCTCCTGATGTGATAACACATGAACAACCTACTGTTGTTGGCAGCCAGAAGGTAGTAGATGAGGTAAGAAAAAACCTGAGTGACCTCGGTGAAAAGCCATTGGATGCGGGTTCTGTTGAAAAGTCCTTAGAAATGGACTCTCAGAAGGTAGTTAGTAAGGTAAGAAAAGAGGATCAGCTTTCAAAGGTATCTGCACCCGGAACATCTATTCATGAAGAACCTTCAGAAAGGCACTCCCAGAAGGTAATAGATGGGTTGGAGAAAGTAGATCAGCTGTCAAAAGCACCTCCTGTTGTGATGTCAACTCATGAAAAGCCATTAGTAATTGGAACCAAGAAGGTAATAGATGAGGTGGAGAAAGAAGACCAGCTGCCAGAAAGACCTAAAGCATCTGTGCAGGGTGGCAAGCCTGTCTTAGCTAAAGCGTCGAGCAAAGCAGCTGATGAAGTCCTAAGAACACTTCTGGAAAAAGGATTTGGCTGCGCATTGCCTCCTCCTCCACCAGGAAAAATTAGAAAAGTGGAACCTAATGTTCAAGAAGCAAACTCTGAGAAGAAAGGTGATAAAATTGCGTCCAATGAGAAAAAGACTGAAGTCAGGTACAGGACAGTCAAATAAAGTTAAGACTATTGCAGAAAATTGTGACAAAAAAGCAGCAAATTCAGAAAAGTCTAACAAGAAAGCAGTATCAACATCAGAGAAACCTGATGTGAAGACGAGCAGGCCAAAGGACATTAATTCAAGTAAGAGATCTAATTCAAGGGTAAATATGTACCCTGAAGATGCAGAAGAACATCACTCGGATGCAGATGATGAAGATGATGCTTGTATGGAAGAAATCAATACAAGTCTTGGTAATGCCGTGGAGCTTAAACTCACCTACAAAGGACTTGGACACTTTGTACCAAAGCGTGATTTATGTGTTGCTAAACCACTGAAAATCATGATGGGTGAAGGTCAACCAATATCTCTTGCTCCAACTTTATTTCTTCCCTTGTTTGAAAGGATACCAGGCGAACATAGTCCTAAATCTGAATCCGCTAAGAAGCAAGCTCAAGAACCAGTAAGCAGAAAGATGAGTAGAACTTCTAAGAGTAATCTCAGTAGAAGAACTTCTGGTGGCAGTCTAGTCAGAACAACGTGGGATGGCACCTGTTCCAGGCACCAGAATAGCAGATCAGGAAGGAATAGATCTCCCTCTCCAAGATATAGGCGGGTCAGTCATCATAATAATGACCGAGGTTCTGTTCGAGATACCCACAGAAGTCAGGGTTACTATCCAAGGAGAGATTCTTACAACAGAAGGCATGAAGCCAATTCTTCACATCACAGAGGGTCCTCAGAGTATGAGTCAAGGCTTAGTGAAGCCTCGAAGTCTAGGACAAAACCTGTTGAGAGGCAAGAGGCAGAGGATGGTGAAATACTTTCCTCTGATAGTAGTGACTTTGAAGTTAAAACCAACAACAGGAGAAGAAAAGCCTCCAGCCCTCCTTCTATGAGACAAGTCAAAAGAAGTGCAAGGGAAGGTATGACTACCACAGAGAAAGGTTCAAAAGAAAGTGAGCCAAAGAAAACCCATTCCAGTCCACTGAAGGTGAAACGAACCACTAGAAGAGTTTCTCAGTCTGTTGCAAAATTCAGTATGGATTTGACTGAAAGTTCTGAGAAAGAGAGAAAAACCAAGAAAAAAGGCACTGTTGAAAAACAGAGTCAAAAAGTCCCAACTACAACTAGTGAAAAGCTTGGCAGGGATACCCAGGATGAAGATGTAGATGGTGTGTGGTTTTCTTCTCTTTTTTTAATAATTTCTCACATATATGTATTTGTGTGTATCTTGAGGGATTTTATGTTCTTTGCTTGATTTGGAACCAATTCATCATATTTTCTGTGTTTGCAGATCTTGACCTGGATAATACAATATTTCCTGTTCTTGGCGAAGATGCTGACGATTTTGAAAATAGTACCAAGGAAACACAACCAAATGGTTCCAATGAGAATGATCAGAGTGGAGTGGTTACACGACGAAGAGCTCCACCACGCTCAGTTAATGCTCACAAGGTGTCTGCTATGGAGACCTGTACCCCAATTCAAAAGGGGAAGAGAAAGCTATCTACTTCTCCTGATGTTGCTTCTGAGGATAGTTGCCACAGTGTGCTGAGCTCAACTAACCCTGAGGGCCAAGTGTAAGTTCCACTGACTCGATATTTGACCTTACATTCATATTTATTTTGAACATAAATAATGACAATATCTTCCATTTTCAGTCGATCTTCAATAAAAGCTGCAACCTGTTCAACTGCTCCTCCTGCCAAGATGTCAAAGCCTAACAATAAGGTAAAGTCTGCTGTGAAATCGATCTTATCATGCTTTTGACTTTATTATGATTACTAATTTTCTCAATAATTTTTCAGGGGGAAAAAGTTGCAGAAACTGAAATTATAAAAAACCTTGATGTGGAGTCATTCCTATCCAAGCTTCATGGATAATAAATCCTACTTCTCTGCTCATGTGTGGAGAATGTGCTATGTGATAATAGTAATATAAGTTAAGGTGAATTCAGAAAGGCGTAAATTTTGTGGAAACTACTTCCAGACTTTTCAACAAGTGTCATAAAATTGACTCAGTTTGAAAACTGTTGTAGATTTTACTTAAAATGCAGTACTTTTCTACCAACCCATTTGGTGCTTTTTATTTATTGGTTCTTTCTCCTTTCCCCTTCTCTATAGCTAGCTAATTTTAAAGATGTTGACCTGTATCGGCTCGATTTAGGTTCAGACATTGTTCTTGGTTTTGAAATGCAGAGAACTACTATAGAAGCAGTGTAAGATATTTGTTCATTAGTTTCTGCCCAATTTTGTGATATTGTGTATCCTTGAAGGTAACATCTCCATAATTTCTGGTTTTGGCGGACGTCTCTGTGTTTTTAAATTCACACCTTCGATATCTTTCACCTTTCTTTTTAAATTTGTATTTTTCACCTATTGTTTATGACCATCTGTACTAGTGTACCTGTTAATTATGTATGTGTATGCTTGATTTTGTTAGTGAGATGCACAGAATAAGGAGACTGAAATAGAAGCTTTGTGCATATTTTTATTACTAAGCATACTTTATATTTTTGTGCAATTAGACATATAGTTACAGTGGCATAGTATTTTTAAAACCTCTTGCATGCCTTAACAAAACAAGTGCCATCATTGCCTTTGTTTCTCATATTTTTCTTTGTTTCAATGTTGAAGGTAAACAAGTCTGTTGATGTGTGCAACATGTATATCCACTCCATTCATTGTGGTGCAACATGTTCTCATTGAACCTTGGGTTTTGTCTGTGTCTTTCATAGCTCTGGAGACATATGTAGCAGAAAGAAAATAAAATCCAGTGTTCGCCTTCCTTTTATGGCTTGTCTCTTCAAACCTTCCTCGGCCTGAACAAGGACTCCGTGCCGTGGGCCTCGAGGAGCGCCTTTGAAGGATACGGGTTGCAGCCGCGGGGCGTAGCGGGGCGCGGGCCCTGCACTGTTTTGTGTCCGCGGTCGCGGCGTCGCGGCGGCCCTTTGCCAGTGGCTTGTAGCTTGTTGAGGTCAAGGCCGCATAGTATTTGGCCTGCTCGGGATCAATGTACGGCCTACACGTGCTCAAGTCTGCCGTTTTCTTTTTCAAAAAATTATTTTAGTCTTTCTTGGTTCCAAAAAAAAATTTAGCGCGACGACTTGCGACACATGAATGTGTTCCCTTCCGTCTTATCACGCGAGGCGGGAGTGTTATGTAAAGGCAAAAGCCCTCCCCGCCCCCTCGCCGCCCCGGTGGTGCCTCAGGCGGAACGAAGAAGCAGAAAGCCGACACGAATGTCATGCACTTCCAATATGGTGCGTGGGGGGTGGGGGTTGAGGGACGAGGGGAGGGACCTCGAGTCCGGCTGGCCATGCTTGCAGCGGTTGCACCGCAATCGCCGACGGCCCTCGCCAAACTTTATTTTTCGCTTTTCCATTGATTCGAGGGCGACGATAATCCTGTGCGCCGCGTCGCCTCGCCGGCCGCGGGTTGTTTCTCGGAACGCAGTAGACAAACAACAGAGAGGCGCATTAGCGAGTGTTCTGCGCGCATCGGCACATTGTACGGGAGGGAAACCCTAGACTACGCAGAAGGCGCCAAACCGCACTTCGTCGCTCTGTCTCTCTCGCACCCCTGCGGGACGCCTCTTGAGTGGGACAGAGAGGGAACGACGTCGCCGGGGACGTCGTGGAGGCCGCGGCGCTGCACCGCCTTCCTGCCTCCCCTCCTTGATTGGCGGGTCCAGCGTCGAGCCGCGCGGTGCCCTGGCGGTGCCTGCCGCCGTGCCTGCCGCCGTCGCCGTGCCTTCCACCGTGCCGCGGCGCTGCCCTGGGCCACAGGTCATCCTATGCGCTGGTCGCGGTCCCGCCATGGCCAAGGCAAAGACAGCCAAGGCCCCGCCACCAGACAAGTCTGCATTCTAGAGGCACGCGGCGCCGCAGCCGGCGCGGCGCACCATGTGCACGCCGATAGACTCTAGAGCGCTTGCCACGTATGAAGGAGGAAGGGAACCCCTCACAGCCTAGCCTCTGCACCGGCCGGCATGTTGCGGCAGCTCAAGACACAGGCTAGCTACATCACTGATTGCTCGGTGCGGTCCTTTACATGTTTTCCCGAGCAATGTGAGGGAAAGGGGCGAGTCGAAATGTGCGAATTCGGGACGCGGCTTCGGCGCGGCCCCCGACCGGGCCGCTCGGGGTGGGTGACGCATTCTGGCATTCTGGCCTTAACTCCTTTGACTTTTCCTCGAATGCCTCACTGCGTTATCCACGCTATCGCCGCTTTGTTCCCGCGCGCATAAGACTTTTTGTCTTTTTCGATCGTTTCGTCCATCGCCAGGGCGGCCAGGGCCCGGCAGAATGTATGGCCAGTGGCGGATTCGAAACGGAGAGGGGAGGGGGAATGACCACCTCAGGGTCGAAGAGTCACTTTTTGCCTACCCTCAGGAGGCGCACTCTCGGCCTTAAAGGGGTTTGGCTTGCCCTGTTTTTTTTTTTTTTTTTTTTTGTAGTGCGAGAGGGATTTTAGCTTCTCCCGACCGTTCAAGAGTTACCAGGGTGCGTGGTGTTCGGCCAGGCAGCGCGGCTGCCGTGTTGCCAATCCACTCGGCCGCTCCGCCAAGCCGGCCTGCTCGGCCTGGCCTGCCCAGTCTGGGCCCGGCCTCCACGGACGCTATTTACATCCCCTACTCGCAGCCGAAAAGAAAAGTCAACGTTGACACGGCGATAAGATGGGAAACGGGCGCAGCCAGCGCGACTCACTGGACTCACCTCCCGTGAGACCGGTCAAACGTGGTCAAACATTTTACTTTTTATTTTTGTGGGGGTCGCGGGAGAGCTTTACGCGGCTCTACGTGTGTGCGCAGTGCAGGTGTCATTTTGACAGCAACTGGGCGGCCCACTGGCCGGCCTGTTGGCGAGCTCGTGCAGGTGCACGTGCGAGACCGGCCAGTCACGTGCTTTGCGAGATCTGCAGACGGCACGCCGCGGCACGCTGTCACTGTCGCGTCAGGAAGTCACTCCGCTAATCTACCTCAATTTGCCTGCGAGGTCCTCCCCCTCCCCCGCCTCGTCTCCGCTCCCGCGCACCCTCCTGTTGCCGCCTCTCCGCCGGGAACCGTCGGAAAAGGCAACCCTGCCGTGCCGAGGGGTTGACCGCAGCGACCGGGTTGCCTCCTGCTGCTGCAACGTCCCTGTCCCCGCAGCGTCCGTCGTCACCTCACCTTTCGGCTCGCGCGGAAAGTCCCAGCGAAGCCGTCCATTTTCCCGCCTGTTTTGTTTTTGTTTTATTGGTCCGCTCTGCGGGGCGGAAACGTATAGGCGGCGGCAAGGGTGCGGGGGGCGGACAGCACGATCTGCGCGAACGGCAAACCCTGAGCCGTCGTGCCGACAGTGTCGTGTCAGCCTGTCCGTCAGCGACGGCGGGGCGACGGCGGGGCGACGGGGCGACGGCGGGGCGACGGCGGGGCGACGGCGATGATGACGCATTCGCCGAACAGCCGCCCGTCCGTCTTGTCCTGCAAAATGAATAAAAGGAAATGAAACAAGAAGACCCTGCCCTGATACTCGGTTCCTCGAAATATTTTGCTGCTGTCGGAAGAAATGCTAGGACCGGGCGACAACATCAAACGTGGTTCCGGCTAATCGCCTCCCGATGACGCCATTTTATTTTTGAAACGCAATGTAAGTGGCCGAGTGTGTGTCTGCGTGTGTGTGTGCGTGTGTGGTCGCGAGTGTGTGGCGTCGCGACACTGCTCCCTCTGCTCAATTGGTAAATGGAGGGAGGTGATTGTACCGGACCGGCGCGGCCTGGCCAGGCCTGGCTGGGACCGGTCGACCGGCCGCCGCTTGGGCCACCGAGGCGCGTCCAAGGCACGGCCGAGACTCAGGCGGGGCTGTGCTGGGCTGGTGAGCAAACGCAGCTGGACAAGGTTTTTTTTAGCGAGCTTTGCCGAGCCTGTTCGGAAGCTATTGCCTTCCACTGCCTGGCCATTTACGACTCAACCTCCCGGCGATCCAGCTTGACAACAACAAAATGTCCGCGATGCAACAGACCTTCGGCGAGGGACACAGCGAGGGGAGACACGGCAACTCTAAAAAACCTAAGAATCACCTTTTCCGGATCAACCTTCCGCAATCATCTCCTTTTTTTTTTTCAATGGCAACCCTAATCCAGTGCTCAACTTCGAGGAGCCAGGGCTACAAACACTGAACAAAAATTCCTGCAGAAGCAAAACGACATTGAGCGCGTGTAGGTACAGGTTACTGCGACGCCCGCGCTGCGCTGCGCGGCTGGCCCGGCCCGTTACACAGGTGTGCGCGGCGGCTGGCCCACCCCGCCACCGTTGGGCGCTCCGTCCTCCGTCCGGCGGCGCCCGGCGCGGTGCCCGTTAGCAGCCGCAGCGCTCCTGCCGAGCGGTTCCAAGGGAGCGTTGCGTCGCGCTGTCTCCCTCGCACCCTCACGCGACGCCCCTTGAGGGCGTGCGGCAGAGACCGAACAGACGGTCCTTCGTCCTTCGGAATCGGCCTCACCTGTAGCAGCTCCGTGCGCAGTACTCTGTGGCCGACACGCCCTTCAGTTCAGGCGCGTCCTTCCCTTAATTTGTTTTTCCGTAGAGCGACAGCGGGGCGGGGCGGGGCGGGGCCGATACGGGACGAGCCCGCCAAGGCCCGCCATTGTCTCACCGCATTTCTCGGCGGCCAAAGATTGCCCCGGCGTGGCGAGGCGTGGCACGGCACGGCAGCCCCGCGGATCCGAAATCCGACGGACCAATGACCGTGCAGTACGTTCACTGCCAGCCGCCGTAAAGGGGAGGGGGAAGGGGGAGGGGGAGGGGCAGGCCATCGCTCTTGGTCCTCCGAGATTCGGCCTCCCCGAAAGCACGGCAGCAGGGGCGCCTTTTCGAAAGCTCCGTCAAGAGCAACGAAACGTAAAGCTGCGGCCAAAATCATGAATGGCCGCCATTGAATGAACGGCCGAACCATAAAAAGCGGCACATCACAGTCCTTCGTAGGGAGTATACAGGGCGGGTATGCGACAACGCCTCGGTGTTGTGAGCGTGAGTGGTGTTGTGTCGAAAGGTCGATAGGGCAGCCTGGCTGCAGGCTGATTCTGTCTCTCTCGCACTCATGGGGCGTCCCGTGTAGGTGCGAGAGAGACAGGGCGACGAAAACGACTCTCGGAATGAGTCTGCTGGGCCGGGCGGCTCGGTGGATGCTGAACGCTACCGCCCCCACCACCGGCGGCTTTCGGTGGCGACGCGTTCGGCCCTGTGCGGCCGGCCGGCCGGGCCGGGCCGGGCCCGTCGGAAAGGCTATATAAGAACCCCCAAGCGCCTCGCGCTTCTTGTCTACTCCCGTGCTTGACACCCCCAAGCCACAGGGACCGCGCACAGCGCCCCGACAACATGGGGACCTATCTGGGACCGCTGGTTCTCGCGGCTCTCTGCCTGTCTGCGCCCGCACTAGCAGGTACGTGAAGCAGCGCCCTCGGGCGCCCCGTGGAACGCCCCACGGAACGCCTCGCGGAACGCCCCACGGAACGCCCCACGGAACGCCTCGCGGAACGCCCCGCGGAACGCCCCGCGCGACACCTGGTGGCGCGCCCTGTGGAACGCCCCGCCGAACGCCCCACGGAACGCCCCGCGCGACAACTGGTGGCGCGCCCCTTGGAACGCCCCTTGGAACGCCCCGCGGAACGCCTTGAGGACTGCCCCGAGGAACGCCTTGGCAACCACACACAGTGCGCGCAACCGCGGACTTGGTGTGCTGGAAAATAGGGGGTTGCAAAGTGACAAGTGCTGTGTTTAAAACGGACTCCCTCGGTGATGTGCGCGAGAGTGGGGCTGTGCCGGTTGTGCGGTAGTCGTGGTCCAAGTGCGTGCTTTTCCCTCGGTTAAGTTTCGCGACGGGCCCGGGACGTGTGGCTCGATGATCGAGGTATGAATGGGGCTTTGAATGGCGCTGCCAAAGTGTCCCCCCCCTCCCCCGCCGGCTTGTCCAGCTCGTCCAGCTTGTCCAGCTCCAGCGAGCGGCTCGTCGGCTGGAATTGGTGTGGTCGTCAAACACCGCCCGGCGGCCATCGAGGTCGCCGTCGGTCGCCGTCGCCTCGGCCTGCCCGCCTCGGCCTGCCCGTCCCGCCCTGCCCGTCCCGTCGCGCTGTCCAGCGACCCAGCAGCCCAACGGCCCTCCCTATCTCGCCCCAGACAGGGACGCGTGTATCTCTATCTCACTCCTCTTGCAAAACAACTTTTTTCCTCTTTCCTCTTGAGAACCGTCTCGATCGTACGGGGTTTTCCCCGAGACGCCTTTGCGCAATGTCTCTCCCCTTCCGGCGGGGTGGCCAGGCACGGCCGCGCGGCCACGGCGCTTCCACGACGGGTGGACGTGGCGGTGGCAGCCTGGTGGCAGCCTGGTGGCAGCCAGACAGACAGACAGAGGCAGACAAAAGGAAGTGCAGACTGCTGTCTCCGTCTCTGTCTGGCCCCTGGCTGCCCCTGGCTGCCCCTGGCCCGCGTGCAGCGAGATAAAGAGAGCCGAAATGTTCCTTCAGCGCCATTTCAAGACCCTGTTTGCGAGCGCAGAGCGCGCAGAGCGCAGACAGGGTGCGGCCCAGGGGGCTATCTCCCTCTGACTCTCTGACCTCAGGGGGCCCCGGGCCGCGAGCCGTGAGCCGCACAGTCCCCGCATGTTAACAACGACTTTTTAGACAAAAATCGCACGGACTGACGGGAGGGGGCAGACGATTCGCTGACGAATTCAGAAAAATGGCCGCCGTTTCCACCCGAACATTCTTGCCCCGGCGACCCCACACGGGGCCCACACGGGGTCAGAGAAGGGGCACAGGCTCCCAAGCAACAGGCGGATCACTGTCTGGGGTCGTTTGTTCGTTATCGGGCGGGGTCATGCGGGCCACGCCATGCCGCCCCGTGCCGCCCCGTGCCGCCCCGTGCCGCCCCGTGCCGCCCCGACAGGCCAGAATGGTCAGAACCAACAGGAAGAAAACCAAAGCATTCGGCTGCCCTGCCCAGACTGCCCCCGCGCCACGCAGCGCCACGCAGTGCCACGCCCATAGAAAGGCACGCCAAATTGTTATTTCTATCATTTCTCACACTGATACGATCCGATCCCGTAATTTCTTGGCGCGCTCTTCGCCGTCGCCATCAATACTGCAGTGTCATCAATAAAGAGTTGAATACAGGGTGGAAATTTTTAACTTCATATAAATCAAGTTGGGAACAAAAAAAAATATTTTCTACATAATCTCCGCTTGATGTGATTGTCCCTGGGCGTGTTTTTGCGGTAATTAACAAGCAGACGCCCCTTCAACCTGCCTAATCTGCCTGTTTATTTTGCGTGACCCTTGACCGCCGATTGATCGATACACAAGTGATACATTTGACCGTGACCTCGTCGCTTTCCATCCGTTTTCAAGTTCAACTTTCCCTCTCCTTATCTCTCGATACTGCTTTGCTTTAACACGTTTATTCTTTTTTGTTTCCAGACTCGAAATGTAAAGCAGGCTGTGGTCATCATGGAGGTGAGTGTCACTTTCACTCCGCAATTTGTCTCCTTCTCTTAAAAATACCCTGAGGCGTAGGGCCTCCAGCGACTGGAATCTAACCTGTTTCATTTTCCGATTTCAGCGACGGCAAACAATTTTGCGTACGCCGAGGGAAACACCTACACCTACAGCGTGGAGGGAACCACAACCACCTCCCTGACCGGAACGAAGGGCGACGGATCCAAGCTCTCCGTGAAAGCCACCGCCGAACTCTCAATCCAGCCCAACTGTGCCCAGTTCCTGAAGCTCAGTGACGTCTCCGTCACCGGGTCCGACGGCAAGGTGAGCCCCCTCGGCGCTTCCTATCAGCCTCCTGCCCGACTCCCGTGCTCGAACCTGAGTCGAAAGACACGCCGTCTGCGCGAAAATGAAGAAATCCTTTGTTGACAGTACAGCGCTTCGGTTTGTAATTTCCTTTTCAAATGGCGGCAAGGTGCACCAACGTAACTGTTCCTTGGATCACCTTCTTAGCGCCATAGCGTCATGCTTTAACGAAGCATATTTAAATTTTTATTTGTTTTGTAAAGAAAAAGTAGGGAAAGCAGTATCTCACTCGGATATGGGGCATTTTTATTATTGTCGGTGACCACCTCGTCTTGGTTTAAGTTGGCTGTCTTTTACTCGTGTCGTCTGCTCGTCGCCTGGAACGATGTTGTTTTGTTTCCGCCGGACCCAAACACAAACAAGTTAACCTGCGGTAAACAGCGAGCAAAGGATGAGTTTTTCGTGTTTTGTGCCCCGCAGAAGTACGACAACTTGAAGGAGTTGGAGAAGTACCCCCTGCGCTTCAACTTCCACGACGGCCACATCGATGCCGAGGTGTGCTCCGTGGAGGACGACTCCCAGACCGCCCTCAACGTCAAGCGGGCCATCCTCTCCCTGTTCCAAGTCGCCGCTTCCCAGTCCTACGGCAGCAACGCTGTCACCGAGGTAAGCCTCATCACTCTCAACTCGCAATTTCATCCGCGGTGGAGCCACGGTGTGTGGGAGAGTTTCAAGTTGTTTACTGGGCCTTTTCTCTGCTGTTTCAGATTGATGTCTACGGTTCCTGCCCCACCGAATTCTCTTTCAGCAAGGATGGAGACGTCCTCATCGTCCGCAAGGAGCGCAACCTCAACCGTTGCGCCTACCGCGAGGACTTCAGGTCCGACATCCTGTCCGTCGGCTATGCCGGTGGCTCCCCTCTTCAGAACACCCCCCTCATGGCTGCCTCCTTCAAGTCCACCCAGAAGATCAAGAACAAGATCATCGACTCTGCTGAGAGCGTTGAGGAATACTTCTACCGCCCTCTTTCCAACCGTGATGCTGGCGCCAAGACTGTCGTTGAGACCAAGATCAAGCTGGTCTCCACCAAGAAGCAGGCTCCTTCAAACAGTAAGTTATTAACACAGTGTCTGTTCAAAAATCACCATCGCCAATTTCATAGTTAAAACCTGTAGTACTTACTTTACAATTTTTTTTCTTAGCTGCCGTTACCCGTCAGCGCTCCATTATCTTCGAGGTTCCCCATGTCACCACTGTCCCTGGAAATGCTGAGGCTATTTCCAAGGCTATGCACAAGGCCCATGAAAACATGAAGACTGTTGCTGGCGAGTCATCTGCTCGTGACTTTGGTGATGTTGTCCAGGTCCTGCGTCAGTCTACCAAGGATGACATTCTTAAGGCATTCAAAGAAACTCACCACAAGTAAGACTTCCTCTCTGTTTTGCAATCTTTTCTGGTTTCTTTTTATTCCTTTGCTAACATTTTCTTATTTTCCACAGGTCTATGTTCATTGAAGCTTTAATCCGCACTGGAACTGGTGATGCTGTCCAGGCTGGTGTAGAACTTATCAAGCAGAAGGAAATCAAGGGAACGACTGAGAAAGTCTGGTACATGAGCCTGGGCTTTGTTCGCCATGCTACTCCTGGTTCTCTTGCTGCTGTTGCTGTAAGTTTTTCTTAACTTTTTTAGAGTTCTGAATTTTTTAATGTTTTTTTTTCCTGCTAAAACCAATACAATTTGTTTGATTCCAGTCTCTCATTGACGGTAGTACCACCTCTCGTAGCCTGGTCTTGGGCGCTGGTGCTCTGGCTGGACGTTATTGCCGTGAGCACGAATGTGACAACAAGTCAGAGTTCAACACTCTCATCTCCAAGCTGGCTGGTTCTCTTGGTGCTGGCTGCAAGCCCAAAGACAAGGCTGACGAAAACAAAATCATCGCCAGCTTGAAGGCTATCCACAACATCCACAACCTCAATGATGCCACTGCCAAGACTGTGTCTCAGTGCGCCAGCGATGCCTCCCTGCCAGCTAGGATCCGAGTCTTCGCTCTCGAAGCCTTCCATGGTGATGCCTGCATTCCCAAACTTCGTGAAACTGCTCTGAATATTCTGAAGAATGTTGAAGAGGATTCTGAAATCCGCATCAAGGCATACCTTGCCCTTGTGGACTGCCCCAATGGACAGGTTGCCAATGCCCTCAAGGAAATTATTGAAAAGGAACCCAGCTACCAAGGTAAGTTTTAAGATTGTTTGTAGAGGAAATAAAGAAGTTAGATGTAAAACTTAACAAAATTTTAACTGTATTCTTGATTGTTTCAGTGGGTGCTTTCATTGTGTCGCACCTGCGCAACCTCCGTGCCTCTGCTAACCCTGACAAGGAGTCTGCTAAGGCTCAGTTGGGAAACATCAAGCCCACCAAGCGATTCCCCAATGACCTGCGCAAATTCTCCCGCAACTTTGAGGTTTCCACCCTGGTTGACCTCATGAACATTGGTGCCTCTGCTGAGTCCAACGTCATCTTCTCTCAAAAGTCCTTTGTGCCTCGTTCAGCTTCTTTGAACCTGACTACTGATGTCTTTGGCCACTCTGTGAATCTCTTTGAGGTGAGTTTCAACCACATTTGTTTAGAAAAAAATGTTTGCTCATAAATACAGGTTTCTCTCCCACAATCAAACCATTTTTATTTTGCTTTTCTAGTTGGGCCTTCGTACTGAAAATATTGACCGCGTTCTGGAGCACATCTTCGGGCCCAAGGGCTACGTCAGGTCAAACAATGTCAAGGACATGTTCTCTGAAAGCAAGGACAAGCTTGTCGATCTTGCTGAAAAGATCTCAAGCCGTTTTGCCAAGTCTACCCGTGGCAAGCGCTCCGTTAGCCGTGATCAGATCAATGCTGTATCCAAGAAGGTCTCCCTTGGACCTAAGGAATTCGATGCCGATGTTGACATTGACTTCTCTGTGAGAGTCTTTGGTTTGGAGAGCATCTGGTTGAACTACCAGGGTGGTCAGGTGTCCCCCGACAGCATTGTGGATAAGATCTTTGATGGCATTGATGCTGGCATTGACAAGGCCAAGAAATTCAACGTATGTTTCATGAAATTAAGAGAAATAGTAAATTGTCGGGTACATTTTTGTTGGCAGTGGCATTACATGAAATTTCTATCCACAGTATGACATCCAGAAGCACTACCAGTTCCTGGACACTGACCTTACCTACCCTACTGGTCTGGGTCTGCCTCTCAAGCTCTCTGCCACTGGTAACGCTGTCATTCATCTGAAGCTTGACGGAAAGCTGGACCTTCACGCCATCCTGAAGGACCCTCTCAACGCTGAGGCCAAACTGAGCATTGTTCCCAGTGCTGCTGTGGAAGTCAACGGCCTGATGGTCATTGATGCCATCGCTGTGCAGTCTGGTCTGAAGCTCTCAACCACTGTCCACACTGCCACCGGCTCTGATGTTACTGTCAAGGTTTTGGGTGGCAATGGTATTGATGTCAACTTCGGTCTGCCCATCCCTAAGCAGGATTTGATCACACTCAAGGTATGGTTGTGGATATTGAATAATTTTTAATTCAATCGTTTTACAGTGTGGTACTTGTTTATCTACTCTCAAAATTGTTTTCTACTTTTAGTCTGAGATCTTCAACTACAAGAGGGAAAAGGGACAGTCTGAGGTCAACACCCCTCTGGCTTTCAACACCAAGCGCAAGGATTATCACGGATGCTTTGACCAGCTGAGCCCTGTCATTGGAGTCACCTTCTGCACTGAGTTTGGCTTCCCCACTGAGACCCCCACTTTCAATGCTGCCTTCTTCCCCTTGAGCGGTCCTGCCAAGGTTTCCATCAGGGCTGAGAAGGATGACGCTGGCATGTCTGGCTACCACCTGAAGGCCTTCTACGACAAGAAGAACCCCCACAAGCGCTCATTTGAAATCTCTGTGGACACTCCTGGCTCAAAGACTAACCGCAAGGTGGCTTTGACCCTGGAAGGTTCCTCCAGCCCTGATTATGCTGTCAAGGCAGCTCTGACCTCTCCCTGGAAGAAGTTGGCTCTTGAGGGCCAGATCCTTGACAGTGACAAGAAGCAGATGCTTGTTGGCAAGTTGATCAATGACAAGGCTGAGTACTCTGTTAATGTTGGTCTGGATGTGTCTGGTCCCCCGGAAGCACGCACCTACGCCCCTGTCCTCGAGTACAACGCTCCAGGTGGACGCAAGGAAGCTCTTACTGGAAAAGACGGAAAGAAGCAGGCTGTCAGCATTGAAGGTAATGTCATAATTCATAATACCATATCCCAAAAAACTTTATTTTTTAAAAATTATGAAGTTTCTATTCTCTATATTTTTCTTCCCTGTTACAGGCACCATCACTGTTGAAAAGAAGGGAGACACCTGGCGTAAGTACAAGTTCAACGGCATTGCCATCAACACCCCTGTGGGCAAGTACGGCATCGATGGTGCTATCACCAAAGACGCCAACCTCGTTGCCCATGATCTGAAGCTGTCCATGGACAAGACATCTGCCAATGTGAAGACTGATCTGCAGAGGCTTGGCCCTCAGGCCTACAAGGCTCACATTGAAGTGGTCCCCAACCAAAGCCCTGACTTCAGCTTTGCCATTGATTGGGATTACAAGAGGGAAAACAACCAAGTGGATAACAAGCTGATTGTTGCTCATGGAGCAAACCTGAAGGCCACTGAATCCCGTGTGACCCTTATCCAGCAAGGTAACCTGAAGGGTGACAGCCTGAGCAACTTTGATGTCTCTACCAAGCAGAAGCTGACTTACCCTCCCCTTGGAATTGACGGCAAGTTGGATGCTGCTGCAACCAGGAAGAGTGCTAACTATGACGTCTCTCTCAAGTATGACAACAAGAAGGTGGAAAGCAAACTCTCTGCCAAAGTCAACCAGAAGGCAGTTGGTGATTATGAAGTCAAGTTCTCCGTAAGTACTTAAATCAACTCTGGAATTAAAATAAATAATTGTTCTGTAAAATGTATTATAAGTAACCCTTTCCCTTTTTTCTCTGTTAAAGGCTAAGGTGAATGAGAAGGGAATTTCCATCGAGAGTATGCGCAGCAAGCCTGCCGCTGACAAGGCCAAGGGTCACCATGTGCTGGAACTTACCCCTGGTGGTAAATATGAAATCAACTCTGACGTTACTTACAATTTTGAAAAGAACAACATCAACTACCTTGGTGAGCATTTGATCAAACTGCACCAACAGCCTGACATCAAGTGAGTAATCAATCTAGTACTCCAAGAAGTCTTCTCTCAAGTATTTAATTTGGTTTTGTTTTACTTATCACTGTTCTATTTTCTGTTTTAGGATCAGCACTGCTTTTGTCAACAACCCTAACAGCTTCAACACCCACTGCTTTGTCACCTACGGTGACACAAAGTATTTGGACTCTTCTGCAAAGCTTGACCGCAATGCAGGAAGCCCCAGTGGCAGCTACAAGGTAAGGAAGATTTTTAAACTGTATCCAATTGTACATGGACTGTCAAATCAAACTTAACAAAAATATTTTTTTCTTTATTATTTTCAGATCATCATCAAGGATTACTTTGACTCTCATGGAGAATTGAAGTATGGCGCAGGCAAGGGATCAGGCAGCTTTGTGGTTGATATCCCCAAGGTCCAGCGTAAGATTAAGGGCTCTGCTGAGTTGTCCGCCTCTGGCTCCAAACACAAGGTCTCTGCTGATCTCTTGTGGAATGCTGACAAGGATCCCAAGCAGAAGATTCACTTTGAGACCGACTCTGATCTCTCCCCCAAAGCAATCAACTCCAAGTATGATCCTCACCTTTCTTTTAAAAAAAAATTACTGCATTTTCTTTGGCTGCGGCATCTTGGAACTTACTGTTTTATATTTCAGGAACACCATTGTTATCATGGACTGGAAAACTCTTGTCAACTTCAAGCATGAGAAGACAGGCACTGAACGTGATGGCACCTCCAACAAGGAGCTTGAGGTTACCATTCCCAATGGACGTCGATTCTTGGTGCGCTTCAACCATGGACTCCACCTCAAGCCCGACCAGCCTGGCTCTGGAGACCTGTTGGTTCTCCTGGAAGACCATAATGGTAGTGCTGTTCGATCTTCAGAGCTCAAGGTGACTGCTAAGGGAGTTGATGTCAAACATGGTGCCTTTGATGGTGCTGTTGACTACAACTACAAGTCCCCCAGTGGCAAAGATGTTGAGGCTAAGCTAACTGCTAAGAACAATTATCTCGGTGACAAGAAGTGGGTCTCTGAGGGCAAGGTAAGAATACCATTCTAAAAATAGACTAATATCTATTTGAATTTGAATTTTCTCATGCTGACATTTTTTTCTGTTCTGAATTGTAAAGGGCGCCATCAAGAGTACCTACCTATCCAAGCCTGTTAACATTGAATTCAACTCTGAGGTTACACCCAACCTGGTCTCGTACAAGCTTAAGGGTCAGAATGTGCTGACCTTGGAGTACGATATCCAAGGTAAGGTGCTGCATGGCTTGGAGAAGGACAAACACAGCAGACATGCCGACACTTCCATCGACCTGAAGCTGCCCTCTGACCACATCAAGAACATTAAGATCAAGACTGACTGGACCATGACCGCTGAGGAAGGCTCCCCCTGCCAAGTGGGTTTCAAGCACCTGTGGGACATGCTGGAGAAGATCAGGAACCAGAAGGGTCTCAAGCTCGCTTCCACTCTCTCCTTGCTGGTGCCCAACCTGGTGCCATCCTGTGAGGTCAGTTTTGTCTAATTTGTCTAATTTCCAGCAAAATGGGCTATTTTTTTTGACAAGTATTATAATTATCTAATTTTTTCCTAAACAGGTCAAGGCTCTGAACGAAATCAGTTGGGATGAGAAGACAACTAAGCTGAATGGTGCTCTTAAGGCTGATCTCAGGAGAGGCTCCACAAAGGTCATTCTTACACTCCCCAATGACAAGCCTCGTTCCATTCAGACTTCCTGGGTGCATGAACTCGACCAGGATCCTCCCAAGCTCAGCAGCACTGTCAATGCCCAGTGGGATGAGAAGAAGGAGGTCAAGCTGGACTTCAAGGTTGAAGGACTGAAGGATCTGAGTGACATCCATGCTAAGCTTTCTGGTACCACCAACGTCAACCAGAAGCACGACTTTACCATTGATGTTCTGAACAAACGCAAGAGCGAGCGCGCATCCAAGACTGATGTGTCCCTGTCTCTGGATGAGAAGAAATTGAACGTTGGTGTGGACCTTGACATGGCTGATAAGAGCCCCAAGTTTGACATTAAGGTTGAGCACTCTGGTGGCAAACTCCGTTTGGCTTCCAAGACTGAGAGGAAGTCCGACAAGGAGGTGAAGAACGAGGGTGAGATTCAGTGGCCTTACCAGGGTGGCGGCAAGCTGGCTTGGGATGTGGAAGCCAAGGTTGAGTCCATTGACAACTTTGACATCAAGGGTAAGATTGACTCAGAGAAACTGAAACTGAACAAGTATGAGATTGCTGTCGCCAGCAAACCAGGTGACAAGAAGCAAATTACTTTCTCTTGCAAGTCTGCTGATCAGAACATCCTCAGTGGATCGTAAGTATTTTAACTCACAGCTTAAGTGGAACTTGTAAAATTATTAGCCTTTGCTAATATGTCCAAATCTTTTATAGCACCAACTACCAGTTTAAGGAGGAAGGCAAACTGTGGACTATGGAGGGCTCCGGCAATGTTCAAATCAAGAATGAGGCTCGCAGCACACACTTCAAGTACACTAGGCAGCAGCTGGATCTGTCCCAGGACCAGGAAATTGGAATTGAAGTGAGCTACTAAAATATTGTCATTGCTCATGTTGTCTATGCACCAACTTTTACCATTATTTTTATTCTTTTTCTAAATATTTTTTTTAGCATAAACTTGATGTTGACCTGGGTGGCAAAGAAAGCATTCAGTTGGTGAGGAAGTTATCTAACAAACAGCACCGCTTCATCAATGTGTACTGTGACAAGGAAAAGAAGTGCGCCCGAGTTGAGTATGATCATAACATCAAGAAGCAAGGTAAATTTCCAATTCTGTTCTTAGTTTTCTGAAGGCTATTGTCATCTTCATGATAATCTTAATTTTTTTGGCATTATTTTCAGATTTTGTTGATGTTGACCGTGAGCTGAAGATTGTGTTTGACCTCAAGTCTCTTGGTGTTCCTCATGACTTCAACTTCCAGCACACTCGCGTTCGCCACGGCCGCATTATCGATATTGACTCTGTTCTGAACATGGACTCTGGTGCTGAGAAAACCACCATCTCAAGCAAGGCTTATGCTCATGAGAAGTCCGCAGGTGTGATCATCAACCTGCCGAAGCGCACCATTGAGGTCCTGGCTGAACTTGAAGTCCCCAACGGAAAGCAGGAAGGATCCCTGAAGGCTGCTCTGTCTCTGTGGCTTGACAAGAAGCGTCAGCCCAACCTGAAATCCGCAGTTATCATTCTTGGTAACGTTGCTCAGAACCAGGATGGTGCTTCCCTCTCTGGAGAAGCCCGCTTTGTTCACCCTGGAGCAAAGGACTTGTCCGCCACCACCAAAGTCACCGTTGGAGGGCCCCAGAACCTGCTCGACGCTCAGGCTGATTTGGATGTGTTTGCTGACCAGAACCAGAAGGTTGTCTTGGAGGCCAAGGTTGCAGCTCTTCAGATCCCGAGTGGACGTAACATCACTGTGAACATCGGAGCCAAGAGCAAGGGTCTTAACCTGGATGTTGAGCTGTTGGGACATGCTGCCCTCAGCCCTGAAGTCATTTCTGCATCCCAGTTCCTTGTGTACCAGGATGTGAAGAAGGGCTCCCGCAATGTTGGTGCTTATGCCAAGCTGTCCAAGCAAAAGCTTATTCTGGTCGCTACTGTTCCCGGTTCCGTCCTCCTGAAAATCAAATCTGATCTGAAGCTTGCCCGTGATGTTCAGAGCATTGATTCCACCATTGACCTGTTCGGTATGAAGCCTGTCGTTGTTCAAGGAGAAATCAAGGACTTGAACTCTGCTATCTTCAGCATCTTCAAGAAGGGTTAGTATTTAGCATTCATTTAAATATTACCCAAAATTACCCAAAAAAGAAGAAAGGCATTAATAAATCTTTATTTTGTACAGAGGATCCCAAGAAGAAGCTGTCCCTCAAGGGTGGTATTGCATGGGGCCAGGTGGCTGAAGTGAGAGCAACCAAGCAGGATGGTGACACCAAGAACGATCTGTTCCATGTGACTGTGGCTCTTGATGAGTCTCACTTCCTCCAGACTGAGTATGGTGGTTCCTATGACAATGTTAAGGCAACAATTGTGAGTACATTTCTTCTTGTGTAAACACATTATATTTTTGTAATCCTTTGCATCAATGTGTATTTTACTCTTTGTTCTTTGTGTAGGATGGCCTTCGCAAGGAGGGTAATGCCTTCGCCAACCAGGCAAGGATCCAGATTGCTGATGCCGTCCTGGAAGGCAACAACAATGTCCGTGAAATTGCCGACAAAATCAAGCAGGCTAGGCCCAACATTAAGCCCGTCACTGAGACCTATCAGAAGGAGCTCAAGGCTCTGGCTGATGAACTTGCCAATGAAAAACTGGCCAAGGAGATCACAGACATCATGTGAGTAGCAACCCTTAATTTAATTAGCAACCCTTTATTTTAATTATTTGAATGCTCTTATTTATTTACCCGTTTTATGTTGCTTTCCAGCAAGGAAGCCGTCACCCGCATCACCGCCATCCTGGAGAGGATTCAGGCTGAGTTCCGCAAGTACGCCGAAATCCTGGAGAAGCCCCTGAAGCAGCTGTTCGACACCCTGAAGCAGTGGGTCGTCAAGCTCAACGAGATCTACGGCTCCGTGGCCGAGTCCGCCGTCGGTGCCTGCGACGCCATCGCCCAGCTGCTCGCCAACTACATGAGCAAGATCGTGGAGCTGGTCCGCAAGCACGAGGACGAGATCAAGAGGATCGCCACCGTGGTCGGCCAGGGCATCCAGGACGTCGGCCGCATCGTCAGCAAGGCCGTCGGCCAGATCCGCCACGAAGTCGAGGAGTTCGTCAAGCTGTTCATGGAGCAGCTCAAGGCCCTGCCCATCTACGAGGTCCTCAAGGAGAGGTACCAGGAGCTCAAGAAGTACCAGATCCCCGACCAGGCCTGGTCCATGATCAACGACCTGATCAGCGCCCTGGGCGCCTCCATGCCCACGCCCGAGGTTGGCAAGCTCCTAGAGGACATCAGCAGCTACGCCGAGAAGCACCTGAAGCACGAGCCCGTCAACGACGTGGAGGAGCTCAAGGCCATCCTCAACAGCGCCATCGCTGCCGTCAAGTCTCTCGTGAACCTGGTCAAGAACCAGATCTCTCAGTCCGACCTCGACAAGCTGGTCAAGTTCGCCGCCGTGCCTCTGCCCGGATCATCCTGGTTCCAGCTGCCCATCTTCGCTCCTATCCACTTCAGCCCTCTCAAGTGGCTGCAGAGCGGCGACCTGCCTTCCCTGTCCGAGGCTTACTACACCTACAGGCCCACCCTCAACCCTCTCGACTGGGTCCCTCCCTACAAGATGTACGGTATCCTGGTTGACTCCCACAACTTCTACACCTTCGACCGCAAGTACTACAACTTCAAGGGCGCCTGCTCCTACGTCCTGGCCCAGGACTTCGTTGACGGCAACTTCAGTCTGGTTGTCAACCTGGAGGGTGGCAAATTCAAGTCCATCTTGTTGAATGATGCCAAGGACTCCATCGAGCTCGAATCTGACATGTCCATCCTGGTGAACGGCAAGCCTCAGGACTTCCCTGTCTCCCAGGGTGACCTGTCCGCCTGGCGCCGCTATGACTCTGCCAACCTCAGGTCCGCCTCCGGCGTCTTTGTGACTTGCGACCTCAAGAGGGAGGTGTGCCAGTTCTTCCTCAGTGGTTTCTACTTCGGCAAGACCCGCGGTCTGCTTGGAAACATGAACTACGAGCAGTTCGATGACCTGGTTCTGCCCAATGGAAAGGTAATTTTCCTCGCTGTCTTAACTATTTTAATTTCTGTCTTATTATTTGTTATGAATTGAGTACTAAAATTTCAAATTGGTGTTTGTAGATTGCCAACAAAATTGCTGACTTTGGAAACGCCTGGAAGGTCAACTCAGAGTGCAGTGATGTGCCCAATGTTGAGCATGATCACTCAAAGGAATCCTATGGAGAATGCAACAAATTCTTCAGTGGTAGCTCTCCTCTGAGGTAAGCATTGAATTCTTCATTTGTCCCCTGACTACTTGAGGCCCCAGTCTAATTTGTTTATTTATCCTGTGGCAGCTCTTGCTTCCCTTACATCAACCCTGCCGCTTTCCGTACTGCCTGCGAACACGTCGCCACCGAAGCCAAGTCTGAGGACACCAAGAAGAAGGCTGCCTGCGATCTGGCCTTCGCCTACACCCAGGCTTGCCGCTTCGAGCACGTCAAGGTCGACATCCCGGCCAGCTGTGCCAGCTGCACCGCCGGCAACAGTCCCATCGCCATTGGAGACACCGTCAGTGTCAAGTCTCCCCAGACGATGGCCGACATCATCCTGGTCGTGGAGCAGATCAAGCCCAACGAGGAAGTCTTCAAGGACCTTGTTGTCCCTTTGATTGCCTCCCTCAGCAACGAGCTGAAGGGCAAGGGCATCACTGACGTGCACTTCTCCCTGCTCGGCTTTGGAGCCCCTGAACAGAAGTGGCCTGCCCACTACACTTCCGGCGGCGAGCTCTCCTTCGAAGGCAAGACCAAGAACATCTGGTTCGGCGCTCCCACAACGTACGAGAAGCCCCTGGACACTGTCGAGAAGAAGCTCAAGTGGATCAAGCACCAGATCGACCTCGAAACCGGAAACCTGAAGCTGGTTGACGCCTTCAACGAGGCTGGGGAATTCCCCTTCCGCGCTGGTGCCGTCAAGTCCATCATTGGCGTGATGGGCCAGGGCTGCGAAGGCTCTCTCCTGCCCATCTCCCTGATGCAGGTCCGCGCCCACCTCGCCAGCTACAGATACCGCGACCAGGGCATTTCCCTGCACATCATTTCCCCTCTGAACGAGTTGGCTCTCGACAACGACAAGCCTTCCTCAGACATTGTTGGCTTTGACTCCGACCACGTTTACACCACTGGTGATGACAAGAAGAAGCCCTTCGACGGCAACAAGGAGTTGCGTGATCACCTCAAGTATGACTCAGACACCTGCATCAAGGTTGCCCTCGGCGTAAGTATCAGTTCGAGCTGACCGTGTATGACTTGTTGAAACTTTGAGATAATAACATGCCCCTTTGTCTTTTCCAGACCTATGGATCAGCATTCAGCTCAAAGAACTTTATTGCCTCCAAACCACCCCAGAGAAAGCAGTTCGTCAGTGTGGTCTCCAAGAGAGTTACCGACTCTCTGACAGGAGGAGAAATTGTTCAGGACTGCAAGTGCTCTCTGCAAGATGGTCTTCACCCCAAGGTCAACTGCAAGGTCATCAGTCGGACAGACAAGGTAATTTTCAAATCCATTCTTTGACATCTATTTTATTTGGTTTTGTGAGTTTGTTTTGTACTAATTAGATTTCTGTATTATTATTTGCAGAGACACGGTTGAAGATCACATTGTGAAGAACTGAAAAGCTAATTTTAATTACAAGTTTTAAATTATATTTATATTTTTTTCAAATTGTGCACTTGTGTCACAAAGACTATTCCTGATAGTACCAGCTAGAAACAGGTGTTTAGTTGTGCTTCTATCTAGATAAATTTTCAAAATTATTGTCTGGATACTATCAGTTTGTTATGTTTGTGTGTGTGTGTATGTGTGAGTTAACACATTAATTGAACATGAAACTTTTCCACCTGAAGGGGCATTGTTCCAATGTTGACAATGGCTCAAACACTACCAATATCTTTGTAGATAATGGTTAATCAAGATATATTTTTCAAATTAATTTGTGTCTTAAAAATTTTTGATGGAAGCATGTCTCTTTGGTTGGTGCGTGTGTTTCCATTTTGGATATGGTTTTGTACTCCTGTTAGATTTTAAGTAACATGCTGTGATCTTCTTTCATTATGTTTTTACATATTGTTTCTTGTCAAGTTCAATTGTAAACAATAATGCAAAAATCAGGGGGGAAAACACTTAAGTGGAGAAGCTCTTAGAGTATACAGAGAAGCTACTGCAGCCTTTTTTAAAACTTGTCTTTTCTCCTGTCTTACTTCTCCCTGTCGTATAGTCATAGTTTGTATTCTTACCGTTAGAGTAGGTGTGGGTGGAAGGTGTAATGTTCTAAAACAGCATCTTTTCAAGAATTGGTCTCCTGAGCCTCAAGCTAGGTCTTCTGAAAATCAAGTGCACAGTTTGAATGCCGTCTTGTTTATTCTTCATCACATCTGTATTGATCCATGATTGATATGACATTCAAATTCCTCTGGACAATTTTTCAATAAAACATTTACATCTTATCTCCATTTGCTTACTTATTACCCTCGTATTCTATTAAGGAAACACATTATAGAGGCATTAGTTTTGCAATAAGAACATTTGGATTACTTACTTACTTTTATTTGCAATAAGATTCAGTCATGACATCAAGTAACATTTGAAGAATATTTTGCACTGTACACAACATAAAGAAAACAACATTTAATTCTTACTGTATAATTGATTATTGTTGTGTTGGTTAAAAGGGAAAGAGGCATTCAGCTTCCAGTGGACATTTCAAAATTTATGAAGACTGTTTGACAGAATGGTATCAGCAAAACCATTTGCTCTTTAGAGTTTCTTTTCTTTTTGGAATATGATGGCAAAAGAGAGGAAACAACTCAAATGCCAATCAGAGCACAGCACATTGCTGGCAATAGCTCTGCCAAACACAAGACCTCTTTCAGAACAAGATTTAAAAGACTGCTTTTCGTATACAATGATTTAAGATAATTAAGATTTTTCTCTATGATTAAACAAACCAAAAAGCACTTCAATCCTCACCTGTATAACTTAGTGCTAATTTAATACATACAAAAATTTAACATTTACATTCTTTTCTAGATAATTATAATTAGAAGATACAAACTTCACCTCATGAGCAAATGAAAAAACTAAAGGGTTACTCATGGGCATGTTGGGGGAAGGATGAAAGAGATGATTTAAGAAAACGAGGCTCTAAACCCACCTAACATCAGGAACATTACTGTATATCTTTGGGGGATATGACATCGTATCGCCAATTCATTTTCATACAGCATGTGTTCACAACATAAAAATGATTATCTTTTAAAACGTTACAATAGTAGGTGAATTAATCTTTAAAAATTCCTTGTGCATCGTTCACACGTACATTTAAAAAGTTTAGGTTTGAGCAGTTGAGAGTGTATTTAAGTTTTTTCTTTTAGCCACACACATTAAGGTAATCTTCATTGTATTGATACCAGTAAGCGTATTTCATACAGACCTGTGCTATATTCTTGTCATCAACTACATTTTAGCTGCTGAACGACAATATAAGTAAACTTTAAAAATTGTATAAAGTCCAATGGAAAAATAACATATATAATCATCCGTGACTGAAAGAAATGCTCTCTTTAAGAAGGATGAGGTGGCAAAGACAGAGCATTTTTAACTGTTTCTCTGTCTCAAAAAAATAAGACCCTTCATCAGAGATAGCGAGACATCCATCATACTCATGAGTGACGCAACCCTGATATTTACCTACTCTGTAATGAAAAATAACTTGCGAACGATTGCAATTCAATCTCAAAATAGGCAATTTTTTCATCTCAAAACTAGAGGGGAATTAATCACTGTGATTTTAACAACTAAAATTTTGGAAGTGGCACTGCCTTTGCCCTCAAAAAAAATTTTGGAAAAAAAAATCCTGTTATCCCAATAAGCACAATTGCTTGAAAATAGTGTGAGCTCTGAGCAAAGACACGTTGTTGATTGACTTAGTTCTGTATTCTGTATCTGCATGGTAGTTCACACTTCAGCATCCCAAGACTTTTGCCACCTCCTCCAGTCTTCCATACCTCAACACCTCAACACTCTCCCACTTCTCCAATTATTCACCTCTCCTTGGAAGGACACAGTGCTAGACAGCAGAAAAGTTTTTTAATAATTGATAGCACACAAAGTATTTTTTTAAAATATTTTTTCCTCCTTGTGAAAAGACAGACCGAATGACATCAACGATGACAAAACACACAAGTAAAACTAGTAACTCTTATAATAATTATTAATAGCAAGAATGACTACTGTACACATTTCTCTCACGCTGACACTCAAGCCGACCTGCGGCGCTTATCACAATTTCACTAATTCACTTCCTCATGGCTTCTGGTCCACAGGAAAAAAAATAATCCAAAAACCCACGACGGCACATGGCGCGTCCCAGGCCCAGGGCTGGGCCGATAGGGTCCAGGGTCGGCCCGTCCGCCCAACGACGGCGGCGTCCTTGTCCTTCGCTCTTCTCTAGCCCTACGTCTTGGTCCTCTTCGGCGTTTTCCACTGTATTATTTTTTTTAGCCCCCGCTGAGTTCAAAATTGACACCACCAAACAAATCCTCGCGGTGCGGCCGCGAAAAATCCGTTTCTGAGGTTTGGGGCGGGCTGCTGCTGCATGGCTGCTGCATGGCTGCTGCTGTATGGCCGCTGCTCCTACTCCTTGTTGGGGACGACGGCGACGTACACGGGCCTGTACAGCACGACCGTCTCCTGCGGCAGGTTGGTGCTGCCGTCGTAGACCTGGCCCAGGAGGAACTCGGGGCCGATGTAGGTGCCGCCCTCCACGTGCTCGCTCGCCACCTCTGCGGACAGCCAAGACAAGGTGTTACGTGATACGTGAACGGGCCGCACCCCTAGATAGGCATTGCCACGCCGACCACGCACCGTATTGGATGTTGGGCTGCGTGGGGCTGTTGGGGATGCGGAAGGGCACCGTGGCGATGGTCACCGGGAAGTGCATCTGCAGGTCGTCGCCGGACCGCTCGAACTCCAGGTTCACCTGCGGGCAGGACACCGAGTCAGGAAAGGAAGTGCAGAGCCGCAGTGGCGCAGTGGCTTTTGTTTTTCCGTTTAAGTTTTGCAGTGGCGTGGCACGCCCCGCGGGCAGAGCGCCTGCGAAGCTCAGGGTAGGCCTGCCCGCCGGGCAGCCGTGTCGCGCGGCGCCCCGAGAAGCCTACCTCCCAGGCGGCCGGCGGCCAGGGACACTGCCGCCGCCCCGCCGCCTGTCCAGGCTGTCCAGGCTGTCCAGAGACACTGACCTTGAGGACGTAGTAGATCTGCAGCAGGCGGCACACCCCCACCAGCGAGGGCGGCATGACGGGCAGGCGCAGCGTCCCCCCGGAGTCCCAGTTGCGGTGCGAGTGCGGGCCCACCTCCTCGCCGCGGTACTCCAGCACGAGGTGCTGCAGCTCCTTGGTGACGCCGAGCATGCCCCGGTCGATGAAGTACTCCACGTACTGCGGAACGAATAGAATAAATTTCTACGGAATGGCACGGCAAGTCAGCGGCCTCATTCCGTCGCTCTGTCTCTCTCGCACCGACAGAGGACGCCCCGAGTGCGAGCGAGACAGAACAGCTCTCGGAATCAAGCTGCAGCCCTTTGAGCCCTTTGGACTCGAACCGAACGTGTGACCCCACCAATGGATAGCTCTCCGAACGAGGAATCCATTGGTGGGGTCACACGCTCGGTTCGAGCCCTGTTCAGCGACTCTGGAGCTCAAAACGCGTCTAGAGTTTCGGCCGCCTCCACCGGTCTTCCGGCAAATCCACTGTGTGGTGGTGGTACTGACCTGCATGAGGCGCACCTTAAGGCGCACCTTCTCCTCGCCCTGGTTCTCCACGGAGGCGCGCAGCTTGAGCGACTCCCCGGAGCAGTAGGCGGAGCGCTCCAGCTGCGTGCTCAGCATCACGGCGCCCTTCTGGCAGCACAGGCAGCAGGTGGGCCGCTTGTCCTGCCCCACCATCGGCTTCTGCAACCACCACACTCGCCAGGTTCAAACACCGCTTACTGGCTTTCCTTTCCTTTCCTCGCACGTGCATACGCATTCGGCAGGTCGGGTCCGAGATTCGGAGAGCCGGTATCCCCGCGCTGCGGTCCCACGGGTGTAGTGGCGAAACATGGAAAGCACATCTGGACTGCACGTGTGTTGGTGTTTGTTGGTGTGTGTGTGTGTGTGTGTGTGTGTGCGCGCATGTGTGTGTGTTGGTGTGCGTGTATGTGGCGTGCCAGGGTCCGGTTCCGCTAAAGGTCGAACGTGGCCATCAGGCGTGCGGTGGGGCGACCACAAAGCACGAAGCTCAAAGCGCCGAGCGGTGAGCGCGCGTGCGGCGGGCCTTGGGACCTCTTCCTCTCTCTCTCTCTCTCTCCCTCTCTCTCTCTCTCTCTCCCTCTCTCTCTCCTCTCTCTCTCTCTCTCTCTCTCTCTCGCTCGGAGCAAGCCAAGAGCCGGCAGGCTCATTCCGAACAGGGCTTTCGTCGCTCACTCTGTCTCCCTCGCACTCGCGCGCCCTGTTCAGGGCGAGAGGGAGAGAGAGAAGGAGACCGAGGAGGACACCGAGGGACGATCGCCCGGTTCGGAGTCAGCCTGCAGCCCGCCACAGACCGCGCGCACCGCGCCCACCCAAGCGGCCAGGCGGCCAAGCGCCACAGGCCAATACTCGACCCCTACCGCGGCGCGCCGTGCCGGGCAACCTATCCCCCTCCACCGCCCCACCGCGCTGCTGGGCTGGACCGCCTGATAAAGTGCCGTTCCACCTCTGCTTGATTTTACGCTTTCTCAATTAAGGGCCCCGGGTCCCGGGTTGGGAGCAGCGAGAAACAAAATCACGAAATGGAAAAAAAGGGTTTACTACAAAACACGGGCACACTCGCGTTCAGAGAGTGGACACCCCGGGCTGCCCCTGGCCACACAAAAACCTGAAAAGGGCGAAGTTTATCCCTTTTCGCCCCTGCAAAACGGTTAATAAAAGAACGAGGCTACTCACGAGGTACTGCTCGTCCATGCAGTCGATGTGCGGTCCGATGATGGTGAAGTACTTCATGCCCTGCGGCGGCGAGGCGTAGGGGATGTCCACGGTGACCTGCGATGGAAAGTCGGACGAAAAAGGACATCAGAGGGGATGAAAAATGAAAAGGGAAGGCGGAGGGGAGAGCAGGTCGGTGATTACATTATCTTTGAGCTGAGCGGGTCCGCGAGCGCCGCTTCACACGCTCAGTTTGCTTTCATCTTTTTTTATTTCTCCATTTTTTTTGCCTATTTTTTACGTTGCCCGTATACCTTTTGCCCTCGGGCGGACGCGCCCCACTTGAAGCTTACGACCTGCCCCTTCACACGCACGCACACACCCACGTGCACTCACACACACACACACACCACACACACACACACACACACACACACACACACACACACACACACACACCCGCGCGCACATGAGGGCAGAATATAGAGGCATAAAGGAGGGACGGGGAGAAGCTAATACCGACGGAAAGTTATTGCTCATAAATTTGGCGAGTGCATCTTTGTTCCCCTGCACGTGTAGTTTGCAGCTCACGCGCGCCTGTACCGACGACCCGCTACTCTGGCCGGCCGGCCACATCAGCCGGGCCAAACTGAAAAGGGAAGAGAGAGGGGGGCGTTCTTTCTCAGCGCCGCCTTTAAATTGGTCATGGCCGGGCGGGGCGGGCCTGCACCCCTCGCTCCATGCTCCGTTGTGCGGCCGGTGCGGCCGGTGTGCTGTAGCGGTCCCGACCTTTATGGCTCGAGTGGTCGATTTATCGTCGATTTATCGTGGGTGTCCAGTCGGGACCCGCCCGGCCACACCTTCTAGTAGGTCTACCAGCTTGCCGAAAATAAAATAAAATGGGAGATTCGCTTTTTTTAGGACAGCATTTGGGACGTTGGAGTCACATGGAGTGCGCCCAAACGGCAAACTTAACAAAAAACGTCCTCTTCATTGTTTTGTTTTTTTCAAAATTGAAAAAGCGTTGCTTACCTTGATGTAGTAGCGGATGAAGCCAGGCTTGCTCTCGAAGGAGCAGGGCAGCGAGGACTCGGGCAGCTGGAACTTGAAGGGGAACTGGTGGTGGCCGCGCGGCAGGATCGGCACGTTGCCCTCGGGCTTATCTGCAAACAAGTTCGCATTTGCATTTCGCACATTTTCGCGGCCGGCCCGGATTTGTGAGGATCGAGGGGCCGTTGTTCGGCGCCGACTACTACGGCCCCCCGAACTGCATCCGATAACTCCGCCTGCCCGCTGGCCCCCTGGCTGGCCCCCTGGCTGGGCCCGCTGAGCTACGCCGCTGTAGCGCCGTAATCTCACTTCTCGCCTCTGCCGTGGCGGAATTTAATTCGCTTTCACGGCGAGATCGTTTTGTTTGGATTAGGAAATTAGTTTCGCGTTGCGCGCGGAGGCGCCCCCTTCAAGACGAGTGTACGTCGCCGGGGTGGCGCGGCCGTTGCCTCGGCCAAGTCTCCAGTTTCACCAGTTTCACCAGTTTCACCAGTTTCACCAGTTTCACCTCGACCCTCCCCATCCCGCCTCTCTGACAGGTGCCACAACCCTGCATGATGCATCCCAGCCGTGTGCCTGCATTATGGAGCGGGTCCCCGATGGAGTGGCCCCCGTGCCCCCCGCGCCCCCCGCGCCCCTCGTGCCCCCCGTGCCCCCCGTGGTCCCCGTGCCCCCCGTGCCCCCCGTGCCCGTGGCACGCTCTCATCCCCCTCCCTGCGGACGAAGGGGGCCCCCGACATGCCATCGCGAAACCGTATTAACCGGAATACGTAGTCAAGTCTACCACAACACTGCCACTTTGGCGTGTAACAGGCATGCCAACTGCCTACTGTCAGCCACACGTGCGGTCATTACTTTTATATCGGATCGGTCTCTGTTCGTTTCCCTTTTTCGACCTTTTCGCAGTCGCCTTATTTCGTGCTCTCTCTCTCTCTCTCTCTCTCTCTCTCTCTCTCTCTCTCTCTCTCTCTCTCTCTCTCTCTCTCTCTCTCTCCCTCTCCTCTCTCTCTCGCTCTCTCTCCCTCTGTCCGCCGGAGCCGCGCCAGCCTACTGTTCCGCTGGCTCGACTGCTCTCGACCCGGCTCGGATTATTGAATACTGATTGGCTGAGCCCGATTGGTGATTGACGCGTGATTCTTGATTAGCATTTCAATTACGCCGTGCCAGTGGGGCCGCAGTGGGGCCGCAGTGGGGCCCATCCCGCCCCCTGGGGGGCCGAGGAGGCCGCCCCGTCGTCTCTCTCGCACTCGAGGGGCGCCCCGTGGGCGTGCGAGAGAGACGGAGGGGCGGCGCCAGGCCGCCACGCCATTCGCCGCGACATTGGAGATTGGTGAGGGCGATGCCGCTTCGCTGGAAACTTTTAAAGTGTCGCGGCTCTGATATCGTTACTGCGTCTCGGAGTTACAGCATTACAGCAGCGGGGCGGGGCGGGGCGGGGCCGTCAACTCTTTAGCGCTTGTTAACCACCCTAATTCACGGCGGTCGTGACCCGACGCGGCTCGGCTCGGCTCCGATCCAAGGTGTTTCGCGTCGTTCCTTTTTCGCTCCGAAAACTGTTTTCGGGCTGTGGCGGTCCTGGCGGTCGAAGCCCCGCCATTACGCTGCGGGCAGCAGGCTTCGTCGCCCTGTCTCTCTCGCACCCCGACGGGGCGCCGCGCGAGTGCGAGAGAGACAGGGCGACGCGGGGCCGCGGCGAGAGGCAAAGGACACACGTGCTGAGAAATGATTCCCAGCGCGCTGCCGTGGCGCTGCCGTCCCCATTGGGCATTGCCGGCATTGCCGCGGAGCGCCGAGCAGCGTCAAAGCCAATAACAACTTTCTTGGCCTCCGCCCCGACCCCGACCCGCCCTGCCGCCCTGCCGCCCTCCGACTCGAGTCATTTTCGTCTCCAAAAATGTCTTTGAATGTCGCGGTCCTTCACTTCACTTGGCCCGCCGACCTGGCGGGCCTGGAGGACTTGCCTGGGCCCCACGGCCCCACACAGTCTCGCTTACAGTGGCGCCGACAGCGGGACGACTTGCAGCAGCCCGTCGTGCGTTCGAGCGCCGTGTTCGGGAGAATTATGCCGAGAGGCGTTCTCGTCGCTCTGTCTCTCTCGCAACTATAAAGCGCGGGAGAGACACAGCGACGAGAACGACTCTCGGAACCAGTCTGCAGCGTGTTCGGCCCACTCGCCAAAATGAAAGCCTCGTTGGCGGCGCGTGGGGCGTGGGTCTCGGCGTGGGTCTCGGCGTGGGTCGGCCCAGGCCGAGGTCGGGCCAGGTCGACGGGGCGCGTCGGCCCGGTCAGCAGCCTGTTACCCCTCCAAGTTTCTGTCGCAGGGTCACAGTTCAATTTCCATAACGGCCTGTCGCCATGCTCGACTTGCGAAAAGTCCCCCGCTCCCCCCGGGCCTCCACTACAGGTAGTCGTAGTGCCCCCCCCCCCCCTTTTCCCCCGGGCCACTTGGGCGCAGCACGGCGATTGAGTGTACTTGCATCCGCTGGCACCATTACCCGTGACGAGGGGAGGGGAGAGGGTTGGAGCGAGGCAGTGGAACTGGGCCACCGCCGCCACCGCGCTCATCATCCAGAGCCCCTCCTCCTTGTCCCGCCTGGTCCCGCCCCTGCGCCAGGCCGCCAGGCCGCCAGCCAGGCTGCCCGGCTTCCTGGCGGGAGGGCTGCACGCGGCGATATCTGGACGACGACAGTCCGACACGTGACCACCCCCTCCCCCTCCCCCTCCCTCCTCGATCGCCCTGGTCCGCCCTGGTCCACTCGACCGGCGCCTTTCTGCCCAGCGCGCCCAGCGCGCCCAGTCTCCGAGTGGAGTGTCCTTTCATCGAAATAATTGGGACGTAATGGGAACCGCGCATCGGCCCTCTGGGCCGGCCGGGCAGCTGTGGCGGAGGCGTACCTCGGGGGACTCGGGGGCGTACCTTTGGGGCGTACCTTTGGGGCGTACCTCGACGGCGTACCCCCTAGGGGCGCGCCTCGCGAGCGCGAACCTCCACAGCGCGCCGCTTTAGCGTATGGGAGGGCGCCCTGCCCCGCCCCGCCCCGCCGGGACAGGGACCCTTCCCGACCAGACTCTGCGGGCTGATTCCGAGAGTCGTTTCCGTCGCTCTGTCTCTCTCGCACGCATGCGGGACGCGCCACGAGTGCGAGAGAGACAGAGCGAGGAAAGTGACTCTCAGTCTGCAGGCTCGCCGCCTCGCTCCAATTCCTTTTATCTCCGTTATGCCGACGTGCGCCCCCCCTCTCCCCTCCCCCTCCCGGCCGCCGCGTCCTCGGCGCCGTGCAAGAAGGCGGTGTATAATCTGCACAATAGGAGATAAAAGCTATAGCAAGCCGCGCGCCTTGTCTCCAGACGAAGGGGAGGGGGAGGGGGAGGGAGGGACGAGCGCGACGTAAAGGCTGCCCTCATAATAGTTCGCGTCGTTGCCAACATGGCCAATAAACTGGTCTTCACAGGATCCCTTCCTTTTTTATTCCTCTTGTCCAAACAGCCTCCCTCTCTGCCCCTCTCTGTGTCTCTCTCTGCTCTCTAGACGCCGCCCTGGTTATTTTATTCGCCCAGCTCCCTAACCGCCCCGGCCGATCCCCCCCCCCCCCCCCCCCCCCCCGAGGGGCCACGACGGCGACGTGCGGCTATCGCACTGCGCCTGTCGAAGACTTGCAGTGCCAGCGCTGCCACGCTGCCGCCAGATAAGGGCGGGAAAGGCCCCAATCCACGACCGTCCCTGACGCACCGGCGCCGCCGACAGGGTCGCCAGAAGGGTCGCCCGAGAGGTCGCCAAAGGGTCGCAAAAAGCCGCCTTACATTAGACCAGCGGTTCTCAACCTTTCTCGGCTCGCGACCCCAAATTTAAAGCCAAAAATTTCCGCGACCCCCAGGAAAAATTTCGCGACCCCACGGGACCCCTCCTTTAACATGCCACGGCGTCTGATCCGAGGCGGGCATTTTGCTCCCTCAACGGGCAACTGGTCTTTGGACCTTCCTATAGCATGCCTTTGTTACGGAGTGCAATTATCAGTCTTAGTTAGGGAGCAGTATTGTCTCAAAGTTGGCCGAAACGGTCAGCAGTGTCTTTGAAAAATCGTGTTTTGGGCCGATTTTAAGCAGCCACTGCGTCTGATCCGAGGCGGGCATTTTGCTCCCTCAACGGGCAGTTGGTCTTTGGTCCTTCCTTTAGCATGCCTTTGTTACGGAGTGCAATTATCAGTCTTAGTTTGGGAGCAGTATTGTCTCAAAGTTGGCCGAAACGCTCAGAAATGTCCATGAAAAATCGTGTTTTGGGCCGATTTTAAGCAGCCACAGCGTCTGATCCAAGGCGGGCATTTTGCTCCCTCAATGGACAATTGGTCTTTGGACCTTCCTTTAGCATGCCTTTGTTACGGAGTGCGATTATCAGTCTTAGTTTGGGAGCAGTATTGTCTCAAAGTCGATCAAAACGGTCGCAAGTGTCTTTGAAAAACCGTTGTGACTATTTTGGTCAACTTTGAGACAATACTGCTCCCAAACTAAGACTGATAATCGCACTCCGTAACAAAGGCATGCTAAAGGAAGGTCCAAAGACCAACTGCCCGTTGAGGGAGCAAAATGCCCGCCTCGGATCAGACGCAGTGGCTGCTTAAAATCGGCCCAAAACACGATTTTTCATAGACATTTCTGAGCGTTTCGGCCAACTTTGAGACAGTACTGCTCCCAAACTAAGACTGATAATTGCACTCCGTAACAAAGGCATGCTAAAGGAAGGTCCAAAGACCAACTGCCCGTTGAGGGAGCAAAATGCCCGCCTCGGATCAGACGCAGTGGCTGCTTAAAATCGGCCCAAAACACGATTTTTCATAGACATTTCTGAGCGTTTCGGCCAACTTTGAGACAATACTGCTCCCAAACTAAGACTGATAATTGCACTCCGTAACAAAGGCATGCTAAAGGAAGGTCCAAAGACCAACTGCCCGTTGAGGGAGCAAAATGCCCGCCTCGGATCAGACGCAGTGGCTGCTTAAAATCAGCCTAAAACACGACCCCAGCATCGCCGCGACCCCTTAAAAAAATTTAGCGATCCCGCTTGGGGTCGCGACCCTAAGGTTGAGAACCACTGGATTAGACGCAGTGGCTGCCTAAAGTCAGGCCAAACCACAATTTCTACACATTTGTTACCGTTTCGACAAACTTTGCTGCAATACCGCTCCCAAACTAAGGCGCCTAATCGCACTCCGTAACAAAGTCAGCCCAAACGATGGCCTACCTGAGCCCCAGATGATGGCGCGGTCGTCGATGAAGTACTGGTCGTCCTTGACGGTGCGCCGGTCCCCGCTCAGCACCACCTTCCACTCGGCGTGCGCCTTGCCGCGCAGCACCACGCGCACCGCTGCAAAACACAACAACCACACCGTTAGTTCCGACGTCCTGTGTCTCTCACATGCCGCAGAGCAGCAGGGGCAAGAGAGAGGGGGAAAGAGAGGGCCAGGTTGACTCTTGTTTCGGCGAGTGGGATCCATTATCCTGTCCGGCAGGAGCAAATGTGTCCGAGGCTGCCCCCCGCACCCTCCCCATCACCTGCCCGGCGTGCCCGGCGTGCCTACCCACCGGCCGCGTGGCGACGAAGAGTCGCTCTGTCTCTCTCGCACTCTCACGGGCCCGGCCGCGCGTGCGGCAGAGACAGAGCGAACGTTCGGAACGAGTCTGCCGCGGTCCGGTCCAATCCATTGCGAGCCCTCCCCTCGCCACCAGCCCTTCCCCCTTCCCTCTCTCATCGTCCTCGCCCTGTCCCACTACGAAAAAAAAAAGTTTCCAAAAACATCCGCACAACGCCGCGAATCTAAAACAACACCCGGAAACCAAACAGCAATGAATGGCCAAACGAACGGAAGGACACATCTGTGTTCCGTGCGCGTTTTTGTTTTCGGAAGTGCGTTCCTTTTTACGTTGCCATTTTTTTTTGTTACGGACAAGACTTTTTTAGGCGCGAAACATGATGGCTCTGCTGACGCTGCGAGCCACGCGTCGCGCATCGCTTTATTCGCCCTGACTGGCGGGAAAAAAAAAAAAAAAAAACCGCGGAGAGGAGAGAGGCCGATGATGGTCCATAATGAGAGGGGTGGTGGGGCGGGGCGTGGCGAGCCAGGAAGCAGGCCAGCTTGATGGAGAGAAGGAGCCCCGGCGGTGTCGTTGGAAGCAGATCGTCGCCGTGCTGCTTGACACGGTTCCCGCGGTGCTCCAAGCCCCGTCCCGCCCCGCCCCGCCCCGCCCCGGCCCGCCTCGCTGGACAGGGTTGATTTTGGCCCCACGACGCTGTATAAACGAGCGTCGTTTTTCTCCGGGCGTCGTCGCGACGGCGGAGGCGGCAGAAGGCGGCAGACGGCGACGCGGCCGGAGAGTCCGCGGAGAGTGACTGGGCGAGCCCAAGGGCGAGCCGGTCTCGCAGTCCCACGGCACGGCCTGGGCACGGCCCAGAGCCAGCACACTGCTTCCGAGAGTCGTTTTCGTCGCTCCGTCTCTCTCGCACCAACACGGGACGCTCAATGAGTGCGAGAGAGACAGAGCGACGAAAACGACTCTCGAAACCAGTCTGCAGGCAAACCTCGCCCTTCAATTCCCCCTTTCGCTTCTCTATGAAACAGAAGGGACCTGGAGAATAAAGGGGCTACCTTTAAAACTCAAACTACCAATGGTGAATCCAACCAACGGAAGATTACACGGGAAGTTCTCGCATAGCTCTGTGGCTATCTGCATAAGCGCTTTCTGAAATATCCTTCCTTTGGCGTCGTCAAAGAAAAAAAAATGAGGGAGCGCGCCCGAAGATGGGAAGGGCGAGTCTCTGAATGGCTTGCAGTGGCCTGGCAGTGGCCGCTGTGGCCAAGGCTGGCCGAGGCAGACCCCGCAAATAGCGCTCCTTTCAAAAACTTGTGCATCGTTCCTCCTTTCCTTTCCTTCCCCTTCCCCTTCCTCGCCGCCGCCCGTTTGCATGAAACCAGGAAAACCAGGAACCCGCCAAAGGCGCGCGGCCGCCCTGCTTTTACAGTGGCGCCTCGATAGCGACCGGCCAGCAGGCCAGCAGGCCAGCAGGCGGCTGATTCCGAGGGTGAGGTCTCTCTCTCGCACTCATGGGGCGTCCCGTAGAGGTGCGAGAGAGACAGAGCGACGAGAGCCAACATGTTCAGCATCAGCCTGCAGGGCAGCAGGGCGGCAGCAGGGCGGCCCAGCATTGTGTGGCTCCAAGCGAAGCGAAGCGAAGCGAAAGCAGGGAACGGCCAGCAGGCTGATTCCGAGCTCTCTCTCTCTCTCTCTCTCTCTCTCTCTCTCTCTCTCTCTCTCTCTCTCTCTCTCTCTCTCTCTCTCTCTCTCTCTCTCTCTCTCTCTCTCTCTCGGCCACTTCGGCCCGCCTGCCTTTGTGACCGGCAGCGCCAAACGGATGAAACGAGAAATGCCGCGCCACTGCTAATCCGTCGCCCACTATGAGAAATCGCGCCACTGGTATTTCGAGCGGGAATCGTGTCAGTCTGGAGATCGCCACGTTCTTTTTAACGTTGCTGGGACGAATCTGTGGGGTTTCCAGTGCGAACGGGTTTGCATTGTTTACCTTGAAGACCCACGTCGTTCCGCTTTACGCGGCCGTCATTTCCTGCAAAGGTAAAGGGCGTAGACAGCGCGCCAATTCGATCGGCAAATTTCTCATGTTGGGGCGGCTGCCTCCCCCCCTCCCCCTCTGTCGCCCCCTTGCTGCTGGCTCGGCTTTGCGGATGAGGCCTCATTGCCTTGCAGTGCGGCAAAGGGGAAGGGCTTTCGGTGGGGATAAGAAGGATGTGTGTGCGTGTGTGTGTGTGTGTGTGTGTGTGTTGCGGAAGGGGGTGGGGGAGAAAACAACCAAATCCACATATTGGGAGCCGAAATGCAATTCAAGCGGATTTTCCCGTCGCGCTGTCGCCGCGTGCGGTGCTTGTTGTTGTTGTCCACGCCGTGCTCCTACTTTCTACTTTTTGTGTGTCGTCGTGGTGTTCCACCGCGACACACGGCGGCTGACTTCCGCACGTCCTGATTCCGAGAGTCGTTTATCTCCGCCCTGTCTCTCTCGCACCTATACGGGACGCCACCTGAGTGCGAGAGAGACAGAGCGACGCCAAACGTGTCGGCGGACTGGGACGGACAGAGACGGACAGATAAGGAAACTAGCCGCGGCACCCTTCGGACTCCCTCGGGGCCACACACACACACACACACACACACACACACACACACACACACACACACACATACGAGTACGGACGCACACACGCGCACTCACACAAACTCGACGACGCTGCACAAAAGAAGTCAGATACGTATCACAGACACACTCACACGTCCTCGCGGTGCCTCGTGGCCACCAACACTGGCTCATCTCACTCGCCATGCAGAGGGGCGGTGCGCCTCCCTGGGGGGCGGCGGGGCAGGCGGGGCAGGCGGGGCAGGCGGGGCAGGACCTCCCTAAGAACCTGAACCAACACTCAGTGGCATATCCTGGGCCCCACGCCGCCGCCCCGCGCCGCCGCCCCGTCTCGCCCTCGACTCGGCGAAAAGCGCAAAAACAACTCGAGCAAACAACAACAGCAGCGTGCAAACAGACTGGAGGAGCCTCGTACGAGCAGACGACGAGCAGCTCCCATTCTGTTTGTTCTAAAAGGAAGGGGGAAACAAATTCGAGGTTTATTTTCCATTTCGTGTTTCCGTTTTCCATTTGACAAAATGTCGGCGGTCCCGATTGCGCGAGTAGTGTGCGTGCGCCTCTCGCTTTGCGACTTTGAGTGTTCGTTTCCCTGACAGTGGCGTGGAGCTGCCTGCTCGGGGCTTAAATATTTCACCCTGAGAAACACAATCCAAATGCAATGGGAGAGGGAGGCCCGGAGGAGGGCTGGCTGGCGAGGCGATGGTCCGGGGATAGACTTCGGCGACCTTCCAGATCTTCCCAGACCTCTCCCGGCCTTCCCAGGCCTTGCCGCGCCTGTACCTTCAAAGTAAATAAATACGAAAAACAGCCCCAACCCTTCCTGGAGACGGTCCAAAGAAACCAGCGCGCCCCTTTCCGACCTGGCTCGTTGACAACCCCATCCTGGCAACACTGTTAAAAGACACCTTGAAAAAAAAATCGTCTTTCGTCTTTTTGTTTCGTTTTGGCGCGCTTTTTTTGGCGCGCCTGTCGCCTTTCCGGCCCATTGCCGCCGTGGCGCCGCGAGACACGATTACAGCTCAGCGACGCGCAGAGAGGAGAGGGATGAAGTGGTTTTGTTGAAAAAGTTTTAATGAAAGGTCAGAATGATGTATGAACTGCCTGACTGACTCATACACCTCGGGTCGGGCCTGGCTGGGTCGACGGGCTGTGCGAGACTTAGCAGTGACGGCCCGCCCCCTGACGCCCCCCACCACCTCCCCCCGGCCAAGCAAGCTCTCCGCTGCGACCCCATTCGAATGTGTCCGTCAACAAAGCCCGGTTAAATGGAACACTCGGGTCCGCAGAATGGCTCGAGATGACCCGCTGCAGACCTTTGCTTTGGCCCCACGCCCACATGTCCGCAGCCCACGGCGTGACGTCCAGGACGTCCAGGGACGTCCGAGGACTCGATCAGGGAGTGGGGCGGATGAACGGACCCTTTCAATCGAGGGAACGGAAAAAAAGTAATCTACCGTGGCAACGGCGGATTGAGGCTAAGCCGGATTCGTTTTATGATTAATTCACCATTCATCGTCCTTTAATATTCAACGAAAATGAAAGAGTAAACAAAGCCAAATGGGGCTAACCTCACTTGTCTTTGTTTCCGGTCCAGATGGACTGTTCTCTGCGAAAACAAACAGCGCTGGCGTATGTACAGTCTGAGTGAAAACCCGCGTCAGGCGGGCTGGAAGCTTGCCCGAGCAGCACTCCGACTTTCGAGACTGCCTGCCCCGGCCTGCCCGCAGCAGCGCGGCCTGTTCGACGACTACCTTCACCTCCTCCCGGCCGGGCCGAGCCAGGCAGCTCGGGCCAATTTGCGAATTCCTGCGTAGTGCAGGGCGCATCATTAATATTGCCTGCGTAATGGGAAAAGTTATCGGGAGATGCTGGGGGAGGGGGAAAATGGGGGGATGGGGGCCAGCAGCGTGGCTCCTGTGTCACTGTCTTGGCGGCAAGCGCGCTTCCGGTGGAAACGCGTCGGTTGGTTCCGCGCGCCGCCGCCGTGTCGTGGCCGCGCATACCGCCGCGCGGAACACTGATTGCTGTCGAGAGAATGGCGCCGCCGCCGCCAACGGGCCAACAATTTTCCCCGTCGGCGCGAGCGAGCGAGGGAGAGAGAGAGGGAGGGAGATGTCACGGTGACGGATGATCGCCACCACTGACTTGACGTGTTGACACGGGCC